TCAAAATACAGGCAAGCAAGTAAATCCGGCCCTGCCAGCCAGCCCGTTTGGTCATTACGTCGAATACGATGTCATTTTAGTATCAGCAGTATAAGTTTTGCGCTTTTCCAAATGTACAGATTGACAAGAAACAACTTTTTTTTCTAACTCAACGTCGAACTGTTACGTTAAAAAATTTTGCACCATTACGTCAAGCAAAGATAGACTTAATACACAGCATCAAATTTGGACCACAAAATTTAGCTTCTAGAGCAACACGAAGGGCCCAAATTAATTTCGACGTTCAAAGCCGGTAGAGCGGCCGTCCGTGCCCAGACAAGGGCTTGTTCGTCGGCGATTTATTGGTCATGATGGTCAACCCCTGGTTTTATTTTTAGCTTGCCGTTCGCCTTCTGTCTGACAATCAGCTGCATAACCTTAAACTGAACTCCGGAGCATATCAAGTGTTTTGATCTTGATCGTGAACTCGAATATATGAGCACGGCTCTTGTCTCTGTGCCATCTCATCGTGCATGCGTGGAAAAAATATTGAGACTACTTTTTCATAATCAAAGCACATGGGTACATTAATGCATTTTTAATTCGAGTCTTATAGAACAGAGCTGCAAGGAAAACTGGTAAAGCTAATGGTACAGGTATACGGATGCACCTACGTTTTCGGGGGAAAATAGCAGTTTTTGAGATGCAATTGAAATTGATTTAGGTGAATATATTCTTTGCTTTTTATGTGTTTTTTTATCCCCCCTCCATTATCGTAAAATTTTTTACTCGTATTTAGTACAAGTCCTCAGTAAACTCACGTTATTTCATATTACACTTGATGAGTCAACTTTATCAGTGACTACTTTCTGAAGACAACATAAAAATAGACTGGGTACATCATGCAATTGTACGAGACTTTGCGCAGGAAGGAATTTGAAAATATTCCCATAGTTTCCTACATGTTCCCATAATGCCCAACATATTCCCATAATCTCCTAAAAATTTCCATAATTTTCTTTATATACCCTTCTATTTCCAGAATTCCCGTTCTATCTCATTTTAAAAGAGTGTGAAATTTTCACATCAAAAGAAACATTTTCAATAAAATAACCAACTTAAGCGTAGGAGAAGAATTGCGTTCACTTAATCGGAAAGCGAATCGTTCAAAAGATAACAGTGCGTCTTTTTGTTTTTAAGAGTTCAAGACGAACCGAGTGGAGCACATGAAAATATTTTCCCGAAAATAAGAAAATACGGATTTTGTCTACTTCACGCACTTCGTGGAGGGAAAAATTTCGTGCATGCGACGACCTGAAGTCCATCTGTGAAATTCTTGAATCGCGTATCCTAAAACTTGAGGGCCAGTTGCTGAAGTTCGAGTCACACATCTGAAGTACCTCGATACTTCGGTTAGAGCCAATCGAAGAACCGTATACCTTAAAATGTCTGATCCAAACTTTACCACCAGGCTGATTGTTGAAATTGATAGAAAAAACTATAGACGAAGGGGGAAAAATGGATATGGAGGGATCCCATTGATGGAAAAGGGTGGTTGCAATGGACGAAGAAGATAGATAATAGACTAACTAATGGCCACCCACGAAAGATCCTATAGTTACTCCATCATGTTCTTCCTTAGTCTATGGGAACCAATCATTTCAACCGATAGGATCGCTCCATATCCCCTATGTCTTCTTTGTCTATCACTTTGTCTATCAATTTCAACAATGAGCCCGTAACAATCTAGACCTCAAATTGGACGCGCGATCCGAAACTTTGCTCTGAAAAAAAAATCTCGGTGTGTTTACTAAGAAAAGGGTAAAATTACCAAGAATTCAGGGTTCTATTTGATCCCAGTTTTTTCTTGGTAAAATTACCATTTATGGAATTGGTAATTTTCCCGAGAAATCTTGGTAAAATTATTGAACTTTCTCGGTAATTTTACTGGAACTTGGTAAAAACGCCAATATTTTTTATCGACTGTGGTAGAATTGCCGCGATAAAATGGCAAAGTTACTGGGAATTGATTACCAATATAAGTGGTATTCTCACCTGAAAAAAACAGTAAAAATACCGGTTTTTAGGTAAGCTTACCAGTCTGTCTTAGTAAAATTACCAATAATTGGTAAAAAGAAAAGTGAGATGGTAAAGGTACCAACGGACCTTGGTAAAAACGCCGAGAATTTTTTCTCAGTATGGAGATCTATATAGCCTGAACTTTAAGTCTCAAGTCAACAAACCAAGACTTTTTTTTTCCCCTCCGTGTAGAGATAGCACTGGATTCATTTTAAATACATACGAACATTTGCAACATCACACGATTTACGCGTGCGCGGGATAACGACATCGATACGACGTTCTTCATTAAACACGCCCGATCAACCGCATGTAAGTAGGACCGATTCGAAGTGTGCGGGCTGCGTTATCTGATGGACTCGATAATAGAGACCACCCCACCCCCTCCCCTCCTTGGTGGACCCGGCGCATCACTTCATCCCTGCACCCCATAAAATCTCACCCTCGTCTCTTCCGAATGAGCGCTCAGGCCCCAATTTGTCAATCCAGGCTCTTAATTGATTCATTGTGAAAGTTATGAATCTGTATGAGAGCATCTCCTCGATCTGATAGCTGGTCCCCTGAGCTGGGCCTGATTGTGCTGCTGTGCTAAGAAAGAACGCCGTATGAACATTCGAAAGATGCCAAATTTCCTTCGATGAAATGTTTAAATTTGAGGAAAGTTGTGAATATTTTTCCTTTACATTTTCAGAATCTTTAGGTAGAATTGCGAGCAAAATTATCTGAAAAATTGAAAGGAAAATATTTATAAGTTTACAAGGAAATTCCCGTTTCATCAAAGGAAATTTAGCAACGCCTGAAGGTTCTTACGGCGTTTTTCCATAGCAGGATAGTGTGAGTCAAGGGCCAAATACCGAACACTACCCGTCGCAGTGATTGTTTATTGTGGTTTTTATTGCGCAGAGGCGTTATGGGGATCGGGTCGTATTAGGGGCTCGGATAAGTAGTGGTTTCTCTAATCGAGGGCTACGGTCTCAAAAGGTGGTTGGTTATCTCTCTTTTTTTTCTTTTTTTTTAAAGTAAGCTACTTTGAAGCAGGAAAAATAATACGCACACTTCACGAGACCACAATTCTCGTCATTTGCTCTTTGTCATCCATGCACCAATTCGAAATGATACTAAAATTCCCCTTGATAACTATCTCATCGTTTATCATAGCATTCTCCCTATTTTCGGGCAAATTAATTTATCGAAGAATGTAAACTGACTAATTTGCTGTCTCCGAAAAAAAAAAAAAAAATTCTTGCAGGCAGAATGAAGTCGATGTCGCAAACAGTGGCACCTCTCACGAAATGAATGGTGTACTGATTGTATTCCGAAGGCCTGGAATGAACATTACATTACTCATCAATGAAGTCGATGTCGCAAACAGTGGCACCTCTCACGAAATGAATGGTGTACTGATTGTATTCCGAAGGCCTGGAATGAACATTACATTACTCATCATGCGAGAAATTCATAGGCAATTTAACTTTACTACTTATTCTCAGGTGAAAATGTAAAGTGAGTTTGGGGATGAACTTACTTGAATCAACTTACTCGGGTATTACTTGAATGTCAAAATATTCATTAGGTCTATGTTTATGGATGTGCGAACCGTTGATTTATTTATATTATCTCATCGTTGTGTCAGAATTGAAGCACTTTAATCATACTACGGTCTAGACCAAACTGACACCATTGAAATTTCATATTTAAGTACTGCAACTAGGGTTATCCGTCGAGAGCAGTTCTTGCACTATCAATGAACGAGAAAATCAACGAATTAAATTCTTTAGAAAATATATCCTCAGTAATTTGAACACAGGTCTGCTTATTCGCTGCAGCGCTTAATCGGGAGTTCCAACGGCTTACTTGGGCGCAGAACCTGGCAGATATTTCAAAAAATGTCATGAGTGACCGTTGGTCAAAGCAAAATTCCATTCATCGATCTTAAATTATAAACTCTCGCAAATATGATGTATTGGTCTTGATAAGAGATCTGCGGATCACGGCAGTGCCAAACGATAATTTTCAAAATATTAATGGGACCACTCGAAGAGAAACAGAGAGATAAGTACCTGCCCGGCGGAATAAGTAAATTTGAATGGAATTTGCATAAATAGTCAAGCACAGCAGCCTCGCATAAAAGCAGGAAAATCTTAATGAGCCTGCCTCGTGCCCCCTTCGGATTAAAGCGCCGAGATCGCCGGTCGAATAAACTTTTTCAAGAAGTTATTTCTGCAGCGCTCTCCTCGGATATTACGAGCGCATTGAGCTCCGGATTTGCATTTTCTCACCATTAAACGCCCAAGTCTGCTCATTCATGAGTTTACTTTCGTCAATGGTCTCGCAGCCCATTGGTAAATCCGAAAAGTTTGATGACCAGGGCGAGTTGCCTTCAATCAAGAGATGGGTGTTCTTTAACCGCGCGAAAAGGGAGCGTTCCTAAATTACGTAACGCACTTTTTCAGCAATTTTGAACCTCTCCCCCTCCCCCTTGTAACGTTCTGAGACGTAGGTCCCTATCCTAAAACAAAATAGCGTAACGCTTTTCGACCACCTTCCCCCTCCTTTAGAGCATGCGTTACGTAATGTTTGAACAGCTCCAAAGAGTAAATTCTTTCAGTAAGAAGTGTCGAATTTTGTGAAACTGCACGCGGTGTCTAATTCATCAAATAAATGAAAAATAATTAATATAAAATTAGGAGCTTCTGTACACATCAAACTATTTTTCAACCATGAGTTCAAGTGCGTCGCGGGTTATTCCTTCCAACTCATTCTCAAATTCTGTCGTGTTAAAATACTTTGATCAAAAAGTCTTTTGCCTCGCGCCTTTCATTTTCCTTCTCATCTTGAACTTAAGTATGTTACAATTGTGATAAACACTCGTATTTTAGTCACACGTGAGGTTTCCGAGAAATTTGTCAAATGAAAGTATGAAAAAATATTTTCTTAAACGCTGGTGGGGTACTGAAAAGTTTATTGGCAGACAAATTAGCAAACTTAATAGATTTGACGGCATGTTGGAGTTCTTCAGCCAACGTGCGTTAAATTCAGCATAAAGCTGATATCTCACTATAGAGGCTAAAAAACTGTAACATGCCGTCTTGAACAATGCCGTCAACATGAAAAAAAGAAGCGTTATGGTGTTATTGAGAATCCGTGCGTTAACAAGCGGATGTCGCGACAACAATACACAACAAAAACACACTTTGTCTTAAAAATTATTCAATTAATTCTTGAAGGGACCCGATACATAGAAGGAAATTGATGTGTGTTTTAGGGTTAGATATCAAGAATGCTTTTAATTCTGCCGAGTACAATGACATAATAAATGTTTTGGAATAAAAGGGAGTAGCACCTTACCTTATACAATCTATCAAAAGTTACTTTACTGGCGATCTATTATCTGTGAGAGGCTTATTTTCTCAATAAATAGTGGAATCAGTCAAGGATCAGATATCGGGCTTCTCCTGTTCATCATCTTATTCGATGAAATTGTTAGATTAAGAACCGACCCCGCTGCAGAGAAACTATAGTATATGCCGATAATATCCTTGTTATCCTTTTATGTTATAATAAGCAGGCCCTATTAAATAACTCGTATAGAATTACCAATTGAATTACAAGCAAACTAAAAGACGAAAGATTAGAGGTGGAAAACAGTAAAATTCTTTCAGGGAAGAGAAGTGAAATCTTCTCCCGTCACAAATTCTTTCGGAATAATAACCAGCCTTCAAAGTGAGAGGTCTAATCTCATACCCGCACTCTTAAGCAACATAGTTTGCCTATCACTCGTTTAGTAGGGGTTTTATGCGAGTCAGCGCAATAACCATTTCATGCTTCATGCGCGGTCCACTTATGAGTAGTTCGTAACAGAACTAGAAAATAATTTTTTAGATTTTTAATTTTTTTTTTTTACTTACAGAATCTAAACTGATTTTTCATCCCCTACTTCTTTACTTCTTCCCTTTATCTTTCTCCTCCGTCTTTTGCTTTTCTCTCTCCTTCATCACTTTTTCTAAATCCGCTTTCGCAATGGCTCCCTTCCTTTTTATTTCCTCCTTTTCTTTGGCCTTCCTAATCTCCCTCTCTTTGGCCCACTCTTTTTCCTGTTCCGCGTGCATCTCCCTGAAATCGAGTATGCACTTATGTCCAACTAATCCTTTGGGCGACAATGTATTCTCTAGTGCTTCTTTGAACTTTTCGAACGGGACAAACTTGTGCGCAGGAGCGTGAAGGAATCCTTTGGCAGATAGCTCGAAAAGTTCGTTCATCATGGATTCCTTCTTGTCCTTGTTTCTGTAGTCCTCGTTCCATCGTTTCAGCCAGAAGCCTTTGAACTTGAGGTCGTCGAATATGAAGGAGGTGGTCGGTGCCGTGATTGGTTTGTAAGACATGCCCCCGTAAGTTACCACCGTAGCGCCAGGGGCCATGAACTTCAGCATACGGGTCAGTAATGGTCCACCCACACAATTCAAAGCCAATTTCGGTCGTGTGAAAAAGAAGTCCTTTTCATCTAATGCACTGTAACAACACAAAGTGAAATGCACCAAGTTTAGAGGAAAATAATGTAAGATTTTGGTCAATTCCAGAGACGCTGCATCTGCACCCCTGATTTTCCTGTGCATATATTCCGGACTCATACTCCTTTTTGCTAAATTGGATTCGAATATATCAGAAACTGTGCCCATACGGAATTATATAGCATACAAATTACCTCAAATTCAAAATAGAACGTAGTCCAAAAGTTTTGAGCTGCAAAGAACCACTTTATGAAAGAAAGAGAACACAACGGTTTAGGCTTCGTGGTCACATGAAATAGCCATTCTTAATTGGTTATTGCTGGCTATCAATTTATTGGAACTCAACTAAAGTTGTGCCACAACAAGTTAAAGGAATATGACTCATGGAGATTTTGTTTTCTGGACAAACGCCCCATGGGAAGTGGGAGGTCAAAGAGAGCGGTACGCCACTTTGTTTTTACATGTTAAACATAATTGTTGTACTGATTACGGTATCACCAGACCAGGGGCCCTGGGGTTGCAGCAATGATCACCTAAATTTTACTAATTTTTTAGAAATTTCCGAACTTTTTGGAGAAAAATTAATTTTTCTTTTAAAGTAGAAAAGATGTATTGTGGTGTGTAAAAAAAAATTACAAACACCAGGAAATAGCCTAGAATTAGCAACTCACAATCAAAGTTTAAACCTAACGAGGATATTCAGAACTTGAAAATTTTTAAAACAGGCAATAGATACAGAATTTTAAAACTTCATTTTCCCTCCAATCATTTTACTCTCTCAAAATAGCAATCCGACCATACTTAGGTATAGCTGCAGTCTCAGTTGATTTCTTATCACGGACAGTCAGATAAACTAAAAAGAAAGGTACTTAATTTTGAGATAAAGTCATAAGAGGATCATTCGCCCTCATGTTGATAACAGCAGCGGAGAAACTTGTTCAGAGATTAAACGGGCAGCATTCTGTGCTATAGTGCAAGTTCCATAAGACTACCTCAATTATTTCTGTGACACACTCTTAAGTTAAAATCGGAAACGTGCCTACCCATGTCTTAGTCTTGTCATTTTCAATACACCATGTGACTAACATTAAAGAAATATGTAGTAACTCGTATTTTTTTCTTTGATTGAAATATGAAACAAAAATAAGATGTTTTTGCTGCTGTGCGATCAGTTACAAGTGATGGAAAAATTACAGATAATCTCAGTCAATGCGTATTTTTGTCACAGAGGCGGACACTGATGTTGGTAAGACAACTATCTGTAGCTGGCTTTGCCTTCATTCTGGTTACTCATACTTCAAACCTATTCAAACAGGAAGTGTGCAAGGAACGGACAACAATCAAGTGAGTAATTTGACAAACACGCCAATATACAAAGAAGCTTTCATGTTCAAAGAACCATTATCACCTCATGTAGCTGCGAATCTAGAGAACAGTGATGTAGACATTGGTCAAATTGACTTGCGAAAGACGAAAATATAATTATAGAGGGTGCAGGAAGCATCTTGGTGCCAATTAACAAAAGTACATTAGTGGTGGATTTAATCAAATTACTTGGATTTGCAACAAAATTGGTTGCGAGAAGCACACTTGGTACCATCAATCACACTCTACTGTTTAGAGGCCCTTAGAAGAAGGGATATCCCTATCTCGGGAGTAATTCTTAATGAACCAGAAAACAAAGAGAATCTTCAGGTGATAGAATTTTACGGAGGAGTGAACGTGCTGGCAACAGTACCTCAATTAAAGCAAGTTGATGAAGAAAAATTGTTGAAAAAGCCTTTGTCAAATCACCGGCGAGAAATACTTGCAATGAAAAAAGATGAATCTAGCAGAGCGAGATAGAAAAATCCTGTGGCACCCATTTACTCAAGAGAAAACAGCTCCAATACCTATTGCTGTCAAGAGAGCTGAGGGGCCATATATTTATGATGTGGATGATAAGGCATACTTAGATTTAATTTCTAGCTGGTGGGTGAATTTGCACGGCCATGCTCATCCTAAAATAGCAGGAGCAATATATGAACAAAGCCTACGTTTAGAACATGTAATTTTTGCAGGATTCACCCATGAGCCAGCAGTGACGCTTTGTGAAAAATTGAGAGCATTGCTCCCACAAAAGTTGAGTAAATTTTTCTTCTCCGATAATGGTTCTACAGCTGTTGAAGTAGCGTTAAAAATGTCCTATCAGTACTGGTGGAATAAAGATGAAAGAGACAAAACTGTTTTCCTCAGTTTTGAAGGGGCGTATCATGGAGACACATTTGGAGCAATGAGTGTAGGAGTCACGTCTGGATTTCATGACCCTTTCTCCAGATTATTCTTTTCTGTTCTTACGATACCTTTTCCGGAAACTTGGATTGGTGATGACCAAGTGGAAAAGAAAGAAATTCATGCACTCCAGATTTTAGAGCGTCACTTGCAAGCTGATGCTCATAAAATTGCTGCACTGATTTTGGAGCCATTGGTTCAAGGGGCAAGTGGTATGAGGATGTGTCGTCCAGAATTTGTTTCCAGAGCTGTTAATCTTGCGCGCCAGTATGGCATTTTGATTATATTTGATGAAATCATGACAGGATTCGGTCGTACAGGATCCTATTTTGCTTTGGAGCAGGTGAACTTTGTTCCTGATTTTATTTGTGTATCCAAAGGGTTGACAGGAGGATTCTTACCATTAGCAATTACCGCTACTACTGATCGGATCTATGATGCATTTCTAAGTGAACATTTTACTAAAGCGTTTGCTCATGGCCACTCTTATACTGCTAATCCTCTAGGCTGTGCTGCAGGGATTGCATCTCTGGAATTGTTGACGCAACCGGACATAATGGCTAAGTTGAACAGAATTCACTTAACTCATAAAAAAGAGCTGGAAAAACTTTCTGTAGCGTTTACTGATATTCATCGTATACGAGTCACCGGAACAATTGCTGCCTTTGATATTCCTTATGCTCAGTTGCTCAAGCCAAAATTTTTAGAGAAAGGACTTTTACTCAGACCTTTGGGAAATACGATTTACTTCCTTCCGCCATACTGTATCAGTGATTTAGAACTTGAAGGAGCTTACAAAACCGTAGCAGAAATTATCAAATCTGTAGGAGATAACTTTGGTCAAGGTGTGAATTGAAGTATGATTAATCTGGAATGGGAATATTTACTTACTTCCTTGACCCTAGCCTGGAACCCAGAAGTTACCCTGAGCTTTTTTAGTTCGATTGTTGTTTGGGAGTAACTGCGTACATGCGTGGATGTAAGTTGAATGAATGTTCATTTTACTGGTTGCACTTATACTTGGCATTTTTTTATTGTACTTTTTAAGTGCTAAAAAAATATTTAACATTTTCAACGAGTCGCAAAGTTAGAGATACAGAGTGAATTTGAACACATGTATTTATTTGCTATCTTCTCTCTGCTTCTCTGCTTGTTTATCTTCTCTGTCTGTCATTCTTGTATCACAATTGAATCAATATAAGATTTTTTTTTATAATATTCTCTATGTAGATTTTTTTAACTATGTTATACATGTTAGTCCCGTATCAGAAAAAAATATATAGAAAATACTGTGGAATCGGCTCTTTCAGCACTTTCAGACGAAGGAATAAAAAAAATTGCATTCTCCATTAGAGATCGCATGTTTCTTACTTGAATTCCTCCTCGGTGTAGACATAGTTGGCGCCTAAATCAGTGAGCTGCTTTTTGAGCTCCTCCACATTGGGTCGATTCCGCACGATGTTGATAGAAACGAGGCCCCAAAGTTTGCAAAGTTGAATTATATTCTGGCCGCAGGCGCTGTTGGCTCCGTTTTGAATTACATTGGTACCCGGGCCTAGCTCAACAAAGTCCGTTAGCATTCGGTGGGCGGTGACCGTGTTAATGACCAAACCGGCTGCAATCTCTATTGGCACTCTTTTCGGCACCTGTCCAGGGGAAAGAAAAGTACAGTTAGTCTGCGCCGGAAAACGTGTAAAAATTTGCTCTTTTTTCTACACTGAAAAAAATGGTATACTGTTTCAGCACCTAGGATGTCAAAAATGTGTCTGGTGATCCTAAGATGCGGCCTTGATTGCCCACGCGATTGAATTTGCATTCACAGGATCAGGGCCGGATTTACCCACTTGCCGCCCATGGGCCGCCTGTATTTTTCCGCCCCTTTCTCATTTGTTCTGATTTTTGAAACATCAATAGATCGTATTCGACAGTGGTTCGATGTATCGTTTGGTTCAAAACAGTAGAATATAACCTCAAACAAAAATTTTAGGATTTAATTTGGAGAAGCTGAAAATGAAAAAAATTCTAACAATTTCACTTTCCATTGCCATTTGGTACTCGAGAGAATAAAAATTCGATCCCATAAGACCCGTTACCTCAAATTTCTAAATTGGCTTTTCAGGCTGTGATTACATATTGAACCAATCGATATTATCTCACCTGTGTGATCTGTCGAATACGATCTATAAAACCCATCAAGTGAACGTGCCGGTGGGGGAGGGGTGTATGAGACGCGTATACTCGTGTTGGGCACATTTTTTGTGAAAGCCCTGTCAACACTAACAAAAGTTCAGTTCTGTAAACCCATCCCTGTTTGGGCAAGGCCTTCCATTTATAGAAAACGAACAAAAAAATTATGAAAGTACAAACATATAGGTGGTTAAAAATGTTAACTTCCACCGCCGCGCCGACCGCACTGTGTTGGCGCAATGCGCGAAGTATTCATGCAGTCTTGTAGGCGCTATGCGTTTCACACCGACCGCTGCTGACCACGCTGTTTGGCGCAATGCGTGAAGTATTCATGCAGTCTTGTAGGCGCTATGCGATTCAAGCCGACTGATGCTGACCGCAGTGTATTTGACGCAATGCGTGAAGTATTCATGCAGTCTTGTAGGCGCTATGCGTTTCATGCCGACCGCCGCGACGCGCCGCTCCGTTCCAGGTCAAATTGCGTGTTTGGTTTCTCTCTTAACTCGACTAATTAAATGTGTTGTCTCTTGTAGCACCGAAAGACGACAAAATGAGAAATTACTATACTTTTACTCTCAGAAAATGAGAGATTTTGTCGCCTTTTCTAGTTTGTAATTTTTCTGAATCCGATTTTTTTCTCTCTTTGTGATACCTACATTCAACAAGATTGCAAAATTTGCCGCCCCCCACATTTTTCCGCCATGGACCGCGGCCCATGTGGTCACCCCTTTAATCCGGCCCTGCGCAGGATGTAAAGTTAACTGCGGGGGCAGTAAAGGCAGCAGCTTGGGATCACCAGACACATCTTTGACTTCCTAGGTGCTAAAACAGCATATTAGTTTGTTCAGTGTAGTTCTATAGCTATTTTTGAACGCTGGTTTAATTTAAAATTAGGTTCACTGAATGAGTCAGTTAGGGACTGTTGCTTATATTTAGCAACAATCAGAACTACTAAATATCTAATTAACTTCATAATAACAAGTAACTTCATATAATAATAATGTGGAAAGGACTTTATTCACATAGGTTAACAGGTTGACAATGCGTTTGTTTTTATAAAATTCGTTACCACGGGGACTTGGATTGAAGCTTAATTAGCTTTAACAGGGACCGTTTAAGTATTACGTAACGCACTATACTAAGGGAAGGGGGTTGAGTCAGCGTTACGGTCTGTTACAAGAGGAAGGGGGTCACGGACTCCCCCAGCTGCATAGGAGGGCTCAGCGGGCCTCCCCCGAAAACTTTCTGAAAATTGGAACGTCTCGAGAGTAATTTTCAAGCCATTCTCCATGGCAAATTAAATGGAATTAAATATTACAGATGACAGAAATTTTGCTGACTTGTTTTGAAAATATCACATCTTACTGTGGGTTTTAGTTCATTTAAAACATGACACTTTTGGGTTTTTTTTTACATTCCCTATGCCTTTCACCTCAAGACTAATTAGTAGCTTGGGTCCTTGACATTCTTGGAAGGGGCCGAGCAGAATTGTGGGGAACCCCCCCCCGCCCCCTATTTCCGCCCATGCCTCTGCTACCCGCGGTCCAGTTGACACCATGATTCTTAACAAGAACCCTATTTTGCCCCAAATATACAGTCACCATACTCCATCGGCGGATCCAATAATTTGGCAACACCGGATTTCCTCCTTTTAAACCTATAGAATTATATCGATTCATGGAGGGGTCAGGTGCTCCTACAAGAATCGATTATTTAGCATACGTTTAAATTAAGAAAATTCGGTGTTGCCAAAATTGCTGGATCCGCCTCTACCATGCTCATACATGCATATACATGCACCATGATCGAGATCGTGATGACTAAGTGGAATGTACCTTGATGACATCATTAGCTTCGAATAGGGCAAGAGAGGACCAAGAACCAATCGGCTCACCGCTAAGGATGACGCGGTCACCTTCGCCCAAACGGGTGACATTGAAGCCGGTCTCGAAGATCTCACCGACACCCTCCATCCCCGGAGTGGCTGGCAGCTTCGGCTTCACCGGGTACTTCCCCTGAATCATGTTTATGTCGGCCGGGTTCACCGGCACTAGCAGCATCTTCACCAGCACCTGCCATCAACACACCGTTTCTTCACTTTTCAGTTTGTCTCGGAACCGGCGTTTTTCCAACATAGAAGAGACAGCACTGGAAAAAAAGAACACATTGGATCTAGAGTCCAGGCTCTTAAAAACATAGACAAGAAAAAGTACTCTTGATTCAATCAGAATCTAGCTTAAATCAATAACCAAGCCTGTTAATGTAAGCGGGTTTCGTTTTGATTCAAGCAAAAATCTGATTGAATCAAGAGTATTTTTTCTTGTCAATGTTTTCAAGAGTCTGGATTCTAGACCCAATGTGTTTTTTTTTTTTTCCAGTGAGGCGATGATCACCACTTTTATAGAGAATGATGCCCACCGAAAGTGCATTTCGACGGTGTAAGTCGGCAATCACATAACTCGGTTTGCGACGTCGCAGACTTCCTGTCACACTCTATTTTTTAAACGGGAAACTACTCGACGGCAATTCTTTACAGCTGCCGTGATTTTTCTTCTCTGTGCTAAGAAAATTCTGCAAAAACTTCAAGGAATGATGTCAATTTGTTATCCTTTAAGAAAATAACGTAGATGCGGGGATTTTTAGACACCGCAAACGAGATATGTGATTGCGGATTTACGCCGTCGATTTACGTCAGTAAACGCATTAAAAACTAACAATATAATATGTATGGAAAATTAAGCACTTTAACTGGTTCGCCCAGAAAATTATACGGTGTTCCTAATTCTGGTACTGAGTACCATATTTTACAGCTAGGGCTAAAATGTTCGGCAGTTTTATTTATGTGACGTATTCTTGTTAATTCAAAAAGACGTACCATCAATGACTCGCGGAACGAGTTATCCAGGGGTTACCAGGGGCGGAGTGGCCATGGGGGCGGGGAGGCAATTGCCTCTAATAATTTGCCGCGGGGGCTCAGAAAGGGCCCCTCCGGCGAATTGTTTTTGAGTCATCGTTTTTTACCCCGTAATGTTGTAATAATTTTATCCTTTTTAGTCACTAAAAGGCATCAAACTCCTTGAAAATTTGTCTCTAAGAGACATGAAAGGTAGCCTAAAGCTTAGGTGATGAAGGGGCCCCCGAAGAATCCTGAGAATGGGTAATTTTGAAGTTCAAGTACCGTAGAATTTAACTCCAATAATGCTTATAATTGCGTTTAAAAAGTGTGAAATTTCAAAATTTTCCGGGGGAGAGCCCCCGGACCTTCTTAGAGGGGCCCCAGAACGACAGAAGGGGTCCCCACATTTAGGTCGCCTCCTAACTTTTCGATTACCAGTCCGTCCCTGGCTAAAATATTAACGGAAATCGAAAAGGCCAGCGTGCATGAAGGCTATATCAATTGTAATCTTCCGCCACATTCCCACCGCGCAATGATACAACTTTTTGAACGCTCCGGAATGCGTGAGGTATCACGCCGCATTAGAAGGCGTTTTAAAAACAGCCAAGTTCCGATATCCAGATAATCGTTTTGCATAGTTCATATTATTTTTTTTTCATTTCTAACCACTTGTTTATTTATAATCCTCCTATAATAATTGCCCATTTGCTAAATACAATTCTAGCTGGAGCCCACTTCACCTATGCATTCACCTTTGCTAAAATGTCAAAGGGAATCGACAAAGCCAGCGTGTATGAAGGCTATTTCCATTTGAATCTTCAGTCACTTTTCTAAGGCGCAATGATACAACTATTTGAACTCTCCGGAATGCGTGAGGTATCACGGCGCATTTGAAGGCGTTTTAAAAACAGCCAATTAAGTTCCGATATCCAGATAATCGTTTTGCATAGTTCCCAGGGGGGGGGGAGCCCCCGGACCCTCTTAGAGGGGCCCCCGAACAACAGAAAGGGCCCCCACATTTAGGTCGCCTCCTAACTTTTCGATTACCAGTCCGTCCCTGGGGGTTACGACTCGTTTCACCACTAGTTTTTGTTCCTTTAGCTACCCTCCAGTTTTGAATTCGGCAATACTGTAATGCACTTAATTATCAACTCCGAACGCCCCTCCGCCCTCCCCCCCCCCTCTCGTCGAACAAGCAAACATCTGCCATGAATATTGACGGTCATTCGCTAAATTTACTAACTATTGAAATATTGGAATCAACATTTCAGTGTTTCTTTCATTATCATGTTCCACAAAGACACTATAATTTTAAGTAAATTTTGAGACAATGAGTGAGTTCATGGGCAAGCTATAGACGGATACACCTGCGAAATGACAAAAATTATGAAAAACTATTAAAACTCACTTCCAGATAAATAATTTAGAAAGAGTAATAGTATTTTATTTTATGTTATGTGCAAGTGAGTTTTAATAGTTTTTAATAATTTTAGTCGTTTCAGCATTTGTTGCAGTTCATTCTACGTGTTTATTGAACGAATTTACCTCATTACCGTAAGGCTCTTTCACATTGCAATCCTCTAGGTGAACAACATTCAACGGGTCACCAAACTCTTTAAAAACGAGCTTTTTGCACTTGAAACTTTGCATCTGTGCTTGATATTCTTTAAAAGCTTCCTCCGGATCCATTTTTGAGAAACGTCTGACAAGTTGATAGGACACTAAATGTGATGAAAATGAAAAAGAAACACGGATCTGCAGCCTTTAAATGAAGCATTGAATGTGATCAAAACGATTTATTTTGGTCCGATAAGATTACACAGTTGCTGTTGCCACAGGCTCCACATTGATAACTAATAAGTGACGATGAGCCTAGAGTGGCGTGGCCCGCGTGGCGTGAATTGCGATGTATCGATTGTTCTGCCATTTAAACTTATGGCAGAGAATCGATTATTAAGGTGTTCGCTGCAAACACCCAGTTTATCGATCCTTTTCCATAGGTTTAAATGGCATAACAATCTATTCATCGCAAAGCACGCCCTGCCACTGCAGCCGGTTCAACCAAGGTTAATCAAGTACATCAAGCGTTTAATGATCAGGCAGTTCATGAAGTAGCTCACGATTGTGTGAGGTTTTTGAGAGCACGGAGACATATCGACGGTGAAACTACCAAACCACGTATCTCGGTTTGCGACGTCGCAGACTTCCTGTCATACTTTATTTCTTAAATGAATAATTACTTAACATCCAGTCTTGAAAATTTCTGTGATTTTTCCTCTTTGTGCGGAGAAAATTCCGTGAAAATTTCAAGGAATGATATTGATTTGGTCTACTTCAAAAAAATAAAATGTGAGCGTAGATTTTTAAACACCGCAAACGAGATACGTGGTTTGGTAGTTTCACCGTCGATATGTAAATTACGTCACAGTTTAGAATAGGGATTGAAATACGAGCATTCCAGAAAGATGGGCTCTTTGCACTTTTTGCTGGCAATCAAGCTAAAAATTTGCAAGTGGCAATAAGTGTGTTTTATATTAAAAAATAATTATCAGAAATTTAAATATAAGTTAGTTACAGGCAAATAAATGGGAAAAAAGGCTCGAGTTAGTTCATATTATTTCAGTTAGAGCTATAAGGCTATAAGGCTTTCATGGAATGCATTCCCTAACTTTAGTCAAGCTAAAAACATAAGAGTTATTTAAGCAACACGAATTGGTTGAGTCATTAATGGATGCTTTTATTAATGTATGCGTGAGCCTCTTGGCAGAAATTACGCACTTAAGGTTCGCCTTCAGTTTCGCTGCATGGGCACCAACACATCGGAGAGCGCGAATTGTTAAGCTACGTAATTCAAAAAGGACACTTGTATCTCGCTTTGAATGCTTTGCTCTGACATGCTTGTGAGTTTTTCATTCCCTCAGCATTTTCTTAGAAAATTGCAGTTGATTTATGTTGCCATAATTTTCGAATAAAAATCACAACTATTAAACTAAAAAGAGTTCATCATTCGTACTTGAACTACCAAATTGGAAATTTAAGAATCAGTTTCTGTTCTTTCTTCCTCCTCCAGATGAATCTTTCGTTTAAACTCCATGTTAAAAAGCGGGCTGTAGTAATAATCAGTAACTTTTCATACTACGATCCAATTTCCTGTTTTGTGTGTCATGCTCATGGAGCATACGGATAAGGTGTAAGTGCTTTCATTCGCATTATACTTCTTTTCTAACTTAAGTGTCAATCTAAATTTAAAATGTCATTACTGAAACATGCAAAATCAATATCTGAAAAGTAAGTATCTTCTATCATGAATGACGAATCTTTAAAGTTTACACGGGTAGTTTTTTCTTCGTTTTTATTTCAAGTCCTACATCCAGGGCCGGATTTACCTACTTGCCGCCCATGGGCCGTCTGTATTTTGCCGCCCCGGCCTTCTCATTCTTTTTGAAACATCAATAAAAACCATCAAGTGAATGTGCCAGAGGGGGAGGGGTGCATAAGACGCGTTTACTCGTGTTGGACACATTTTTTGCTACTTGGCAAAAGTTCACGGAACTTTGCGCGAAAGTTAAGTTCCGTAAAATTGTCGCTGTGTGGAAACGGCCTTCCATTATTTATAAGAAATGAATGAAAAAATTATGAAAGAACAAACATAAATGTGGTTTAATCATTTTAACTTCCGCCGCGGCGCCGCCGCTGCACTGTGTTTGGCGCAATGCGTGAAGTATTCCTACGGTCTTGTAGGCGCTTTGCGTTTCACGCCGACTGGTCAGTGCTGAACGCAGTGAACGCACTGTGTTTGGCGCAATGCGTGAAGTATTCCTACGGTCTTGTAGGCGCTATGCGTTTCACGCCGACCGGTCGATGCTGAACGCGCGCAATGAGCGCACTGTCTTTGACGCAATGCATGAAGTATTCATGCAGTCTTGTAGGCATCAATATGTGTTACATGCCGACCTCCGGTCACACCGCGCCGAGGGTTTCTCCTTTTCATCTCAAGTCCTCGTCATCATTGCTCTCTGCGCCGCGCCGTGCCGTTCCAGGCCAAACTGCGTGTTTGGTTTTTCTCTTAACTCAACTAATTAAAGGTGCTGTCTCTTGTATCACCGAAAGACGACAGAATTAGAAATTATGAAACTCTTAGGAAATGAGAGATTTTGTCGCCTTTTCTCGTTTGTAATTTTTTTATACCTACATTTTAAAAAAAATTCCAAAATTTGCCGCCATGGGCCGCGGCCCATGTGGCCACCCCTAAATCCGGCCCTGCCTACATCAATTTATTTGATTGAATTGGGTCAGGTAGTTTTTTTTCGGTAAAAAGCAGTGGCGTGGCGTGGCGTCGATGTAGGCAAGAGAGGAACTCAGGAACTGCTTTCACTTCCGTGCGTATGCAACACGGACATCCGCGGAGCTCGAATAGTTGCATCCGGGCGTTACAATGAAATTTGCTTATGTAGTATTCGTTGCATGCTATATTAACTGGGGTGCTATGCGTGTTTTTCTTGCACCTCACCTTAATTCCCGCGTTGCTCATTGGCTGATGAAGTAAACTACTCCTGATTTTTCCTAAAATTGTCAAATTTTCGAAAAATTCTTCGATTCTTTTAATGTACTAATGTATTGCCCTTCTAAAATATGGATTGCGGCTCTACTCTTCCTGACAGTGGCGTGGCGTGAACTGCGATGTATCGATTGTTCTGCCATTTAAACCTATCGTAAATAATCGATAATTAAGGTGTTCGCTGCGAACACCCTGTTAATCGATCTTTTCCCATAGGTTCAAATAGAATAACAATCAATAAATCGCAAAGCACGCCACGCCACTGACCTAAGAACGACGAGCGCGGCAGATTCGTTTCATGGATACTTCAATGAGAGACTCTAATGGAAGGAGTAAAACAGAAAGGAACACAGCCACATCGGGATCGAACCGAGAAAAAGAGGTTTAAAGTTTGGCTCCTGCATAAGACTCAATGTAAAAGATAAACTTCAAGTTCAATTTCTGCAAAATTTGCTCCAATAAAAACTATGAATTTTTGGCGATAGATAGTAGAGCAGTGGTTGAGTTCAAAACCACTCATAACTCAATTTTTTCCAAAATGTGGGTAGGTTTCTTTCTGCTTAGCTCAGTCCAAATGTTAGAGAATTTATCAAGGACCTCCTCTGGGTCCACCTCAAGCTTTTAGGAGTTCTTGACACCCCTTTCTCCTCCTTTCTTGAGGCATCTAAATTGGATCGCATTTAGCAAAAAGGAACTAGCGCGATTACAGTGTTGTAAGAATGTTACATCTTTATAATTTTTTTTTACAAAATTCCTAGAATAACAAATGTCTTTTACTTACTCAGCAAAAAATTGTTAATTTTAAAGGAAAATAATAGTGAACATTTTAATATGATATTAAGTATTTTTAAAAGAAAAAAGAAGTCGCACGATTGTGAAAACACTGTAATCGCGCTGGTTCCTTTTTGCTAAAAAAGATCCAATTAATCTTGCACCAATTAAAACATTTCATGAATCCTGCCCTACTGTCCACTACAGAAATGCGATACAGAATACCTGCTAGTCAACTGAGAAAGGATGTTTTTAATTGATATGAAAGTGTGGAAGATGTGCCAAGAATAATGAAAAATGACATAAAATAATAAATAAATTGTATTGAGTGAATTTACACAACATATAAATAAAAACACAGGAAGGTTCTCCTAATGCACATTCATCCTAATGCACACAATGTGGTTAAAGTTTATCCACAACACTGGATAAACACTCTCTACATAAAAACAGCAAATTTATAGTGTAGGTACAATACCCTGTAGGCAAAATCGCTCTGACCAATGGCAGAAGATCAGAATGAATGCTGATCATGAGAGTATAAATGGTCAAATTTTTAGCCCTGATAAACAATAATTCATGAAACACAATCTCAAACTCAAAAAAAGTAATGCCTGAACAAACAAGCCTTTTTCAGCCTTGAGTAAAACATGCTGCTACTCTCAAAAAAATGAGATGCACAGGGTGCGATGTAGAGTAGTGCTGAATAAAGCCGTATAGTCATATCTGCACGAATAAAACTACAAGGGTTTAGTAAAAACTTCAGAAATACCTTTAAAATGACTGAATAATCAATTCCTTCTCAGGATAGAGGACCAGATTTTAGAATAATATTTATATTTTAAAGAGTCATTGCAGATTTTACGAATACTATGTTACGTTTATTCGTGAATTTTACATTTTTTACGATCCTCTTCATGGATTTTGATAAACCTAATCCTCTTCGCTTTTAAACATCTCCTTGATAGACCATACGTTCAACCCAAGCAGCTACTAATTGGGCTCTAAACTGTAAGTTAATACTCAAATTGTTGAATTTCAACGGTCAATTTTTCAGTTTTCAATTGTTAATTCTAAAGTCAATCAGTTTTCAATTCAAAATTCATCTACAATGAATTCATCTACGATGAATTTTGAATACTAAATGAGACGCTTAAAATGTAAAAATACCATTTTCAGCTTACAAATAGAGCAGCTGCTAGCAGAGGCTGTGTTTCGTACCTTATGAGGGGGAATAATATTTTTCCTTTTCTTTATTTTTTTGAGGAGAAAAGGGTTTAAATTTATTAATGCTTGGTTAAAAATACTGTTGAGAAACAAACCCACATAATTGTACACACTACATGGAATACAAGCTGCACTCATACCTGCATACAATTTTAAGCTCAAATACAAAATTTAGAAACAGGAATAAAAAATTGATATGAAAGCACCTGCGAACAGCACCAGCATTCTGGATTTAGTTAGGGCTTTACAGAACTTATTTAGTCGTTTCAAAATCACTGATTTAGCCACAAAATGGTGAAATAATTAGATATTAAAAAGGCATGTTTCCTGATCGAATTGCCAAAAAAAAAAGAAAAAGAAAAAAAATTCGACTGATTAGAGAGAGGCTGAAAATGCGACGGCCCTCCGATGCAACCTGAACCTGTCAGACTATATAGTCCAATTAGAGCATAATTACATCAGTCATGAGTATTGCTCATGTATGAATAAAACTTCATGCTTCTTTTTTCCAATTTTATCTTGATGTGTGTAAATGCTCTTCTGTTAAACTCTGTCGAGGTAACACAAACTTAAAAAATTCTCTTGCTACTGTTAACACTATCTTTTTACTCTTTCTCATGCTGATCAACTTTTGGGTGCTTTCAAACGAACCAAATAGTCCACCAGTGACAGACAGTGAGAATAAGTTGACTGCACCCTGAAAACGCTCACAGGTAGCTTTTTCGCCAAAATTTACAAAAAACTATATAGAGAACAGAGTGAGTGAACCATTAAAGACATATATCTGAGGAGAAATCTAACAATTGATGTTATTAATTCTATTAATTTTCTAAGACTAATAACAGGAACAAAATGGGTACATCTTAAGTAGAGCTCAATGGTAGATGTAAATTGACAATATACATTAACATTGATAGGAGGTCGACCGATGCTGAAAATAAAACTTCCACAATGAGACTAAGCCTAAAATCACTAAAAAATCACATACAAAGTTAAAAATATTTGATATTGCTTCGTTGAAAAGGTACATATTTCCTCCCCTCTTTTTTCAAGGAAGGAAGATGGAAAAAGAGTGCAAAAGTATGTTTGGCAAATAATGAGAAGTATAAACTGCAAAAATACTAAATATACACGCTTACAATGGTGAATGAAATAGGTACTGTATTTTAACAATTGTGTATAAAAAAGTTGAGAGGTGGGTGGTTTTTAAATGTTACTATATTTTATTTCTGCAGGGTGTGCGAAAGATACTTGTTAACTTTTCAAGAACGATTATAGGTACTGAAGTGGGGTTTGGATGAAACTTCCTCGATAAAAATACGCAAATTTTTTGAGGGAGGTTAACTAAAAGTATTTTGTGTTCTTTCCAGCGAGGTATCACATGACAGGGGCTCCAATTTTAATTTCAAAAGTTGCCCTGAACTCTCCTTTGGTTTTTATTTCAGCGAGTTTCGCCCGAACCGCATCTGCAAACGTTCTTGAGATATTAATAAGTATCCATATTTTTTGCACACACTGTATTTTCTGTCAGTACTCAAGGCTGAGGGAAATTAAAACGAAAAAATTGAAACAGTAAAAATATCCATCAAAGGAAAGAATATTACAGGATGATAAGAAATAATAATACATAATAAATTCAAAATTACGTAGTTCTAGGAGTCCTTTAAACCATGTAATACTACAAATAAAAAACAAAAAGCCTCTAGTGATGAGACCACGAAACATATGCTTCTCAACTTTCAATCTTTTTCAGTTGCTAAGTCACCCATCGAAACATTCCATCAAAGTGTACAACCAATCATATTTACAAAAGCGATAGATACTGACGCAACAATGCTTGAAAATGAAAGACTAATGCATAAAGCTAAATATTAGAATGAAACCTAAAGGAACGTGTCCTATGAATGAGGATTAGCGGACTCTGATTGATTTCACAGATTTTGCTCAAAGCCTAAAATGGAATGATAATTGTGGTTAAAATTCCTTGAAAAAAGAGAGAACTTGCTAGTATTATTAATTAATTTTAACTAAGTTCGATGTAAATTTTAAATTCGTTCACAAAGGAGTGTTCTTCTAAACTTTGGAAATTTTAGATTCCTTGAAAAATCAACTTTCACTTTAAAGAGTTATAAAAAATAAATTCCTAACATGACATTTTGATTCAACACAATAAATGCAACACTATTTAACATCGTAGAAAACTAAAAGGAATTAGTTATTCACTAACAGATACACCAATTATTAAACTGTTTCACTCAATATTCAATAACTCGGACACAAAAATTCTAGGGAATGATTTCAGTTAGATACTGAGTTTTCCTTTTGCATATAAACATGTACATAATTACATAAAATGTACACTATCAGCCAAAAATCAAAAGTAGTGTTATATGAGAGACAGAATCAGGGTATCATATCTAGAAATCACTCAATGATTCATCATTGTAGATAAACTTAATATATACATATTACCTATATATGTACATGCAAGAGTACATGATTTGAGATCATTAAAATTAATCTTTGGAAAAACCGCTGAAATAAAGTCAATAAGGAGTTTTGTACCTCCCCGCTTTACGTTAAGGCCTGTCTCAGTCATGTTAAATACGATTCTACTTCCATTATTGAAAATGCAATCCTCCCTCCTGAACGAATATTTAGGTTTTGAAGGAAAAAATTTGGACCCTACAACACTGAATGAGGGAAATTTACATATTTACAACAATTATATCATATTTTTTTTTTTTTTTGGAGGCATATTTCTAAAAATTACAACTACCACAGCCATATCATAGACGTTTCTGCAATCTACCTAAACTGAGACTGATTGGAAATGTGAACTGGTTTTAAATTATTTCTTAAAAATGTCTACAGCCGGATAAAAGGCTGATAACAATCCTGCCGACTTGTAAAATAGGGTATTTTGCTGAGTCCTGCAATAATGTAAGAAAGCTGTGGCTGACATTGATTCCCTTCCAATCATATTACTGAGAAGGATTTGTTTTGCGTGAAAGCATTGAAATTAAACATTTTAACCACCAGTTGCATCCATTCACAGTTTCATGGGTGTTAAATTTCAAAGGTACAGCTTTAAATACAGCTGGTGTAATTTACTGAATTTTCTCCTTCAACTCTGTTAGAAACAAAATTGAGAATCTAACTGAAGCAAGCTACAAAACCTAATCAAACTAATATAAAAATAAGAGAGATTTAATTCAGTTGCAATGTAAATGAATTTTTTGGCAACCCATTACCCCGGTGGTGTACAAAATCACATGTGGTACCATTCTAGGATCAAAAGTTAATTTTTACAGCTTGAATTACACATTGAAATAGGATGAAAGGTGGGAAAAAATGCGTTAAAATCCAAACTTTCAGTTCATTAAGCAGTGTTTTCCTGACTTGAATATTTTTAGGAACATTTTGTTCTTCTCTGTCAGAGTGAAATTGAATTTTTTTAAAATTGTTTCAGTGAAAGTAATTCACTTTATCTGCAACTGGTAACACAATGCAAAAACCTTTAAACACTGCTGAAAGTTTAGAAACCACAAATTTTTAAATAAAGCTCCAGTAATTGTTATTGACTGAAAAGGTGACACCGATTGGATGCATGAGCATGATTTGGAGATCGACTATGTGCAGATCAAACAACCAAACATTTCAAAATCTTGGATATTCAGCTGTTGCCTCTTATTTTAAATACAAGCTAAAATAAACAAACAACCTATGAGACAACCTTTTTCCCTGAGATTTTCAGGATAACACTTTACCCGCTCCTTTAAAAATTAGTTTTGTCCTCCCTTCCCCAGGACTAACTACTTTTACTTTCTGATTGGTTTTCACTGATATTGCACCAAACAGCATACCTCTCTTGAGAGAAAATTTATGCTTTGAGCTCTGATGAGCTTTTTCTCTCTATAATGAAGAAATCAATTTTATACTGAAAATTAAAGGACGTTGGCAAAATCACCGACATTTTGTCTCAATGACGCGTGCATCAAACTGCAATCAGTTTGACAAGTTACTATGTTTATGCCAAAACGCTCATTTTGGATATCCATGTAATTCTTAAACTCATTCAATGGCAATGAGGCTTTTAATGTTAGTATTCACAATATACTACGTGAGAAATCAACAAATAATGGCCATTTAAAATGTTTTTCTTGTCTTCTTCAATTAAGATTGTCAAAACCATGGACATTGAAATATTACCAAGACCAGTAAAAAATGAGGTCAGGCATTTGGATAGGTACAAAAAAACCAAAATATCTTGATAAAATACTACAGCACAAGAATGTATAAGGGTAGACCTGCCTATCATACAGAGTATTAAAACCTTTTTCTCGCACCTCTTCAAAAATTAATTCTATAAAAAAAAAAAAAAAAATTCAAATGCAACTATGGGGATCTTAGGGCTTACCTAGGGTCTTTCATAATCCAATAGAAGTTTTCTACTCTATTGAGACATTTTGCATTCAGAAGTTTGGACTTCTGATTCAAAGTTAATAAAGAGTTAGAGCACTCTTGAATTTCAGCCCGAGTTTCAACTAAATTGAAAGATGATAGAATCAGTTTTAAGTAAGCCCTCTATTAGAAAATAATCGATCAAAGAGATGAAAGATGCCAAGAAACATGGACTCTTCAATAGAGACTCTGGCCAGCTCAGCACAATGAGTATATATTATCAACTTAATGGGATGGGTTAATATGCTCACTGATCCTTGATTTAAAGAAATTCTTTTGAGGAGGAACTTAGGGTTGAAATATGCTGTTGCACTAAAAATATACACAGAGGTACATCCAACAACTTTGCTCATCAACTAAACATGATCAACAAAGCCTCAAGAATACATGCGTTACAGCCATAGGACTTTCCTAATTTTTCTGGATTTTATAGAAACTTCACAAAAGCTTCACAGTTTACTTTCTCAACAAATTGTTAATGAAGTTTTTAGCATTTTGTTGTGACCAACTTCTTAGGATGAAAGGCTACAAATGACAAATAGCGCTTTACCATAATTACGTTCAAGATGATTGCTACCTGTCATTTTTAATTTCAATTGTTTTACTAATAGAATCTATTTCTTTCCTTACACTAAGAATGTTATCAAGTATTTGCTCGTCATTTTCAGCCACAAGCTCGACAGATTTTAAGTCACGCTTGAATGATTTTGGAACATCGTGAAAAGCGTTGCTAATTTCAACGTTCACTGATTCAATATCATTAAATATGTTATCAGGACTTGACAGCCTATCTGGAGCTTGAATATTCAAGAGTTTATCTGATGAATTACTCTTGCTTGAGTTTGACGTTCTATTTGGTTGAATAGATTTTTTAGCACTTGAATTTTTTGGACATGAATCCACTCCTTTCATTTCGACTGAATTCACACTTCTCAAAGTTTCTTTCAGTGTGATATCTCCTGATGCATTGTCAGACATTGATTTTAACTTGGAAGCAGAATTATTCCTTTCATTGCCTAGATTGGAGTCTGAACTTGGAGCAGAGTTGTGATTTTGGAGTTCCGGAAGACTCTGTGAGTTCACCAAATTAGAATCAGAACTTGGAATGGATTTTGAAGTTTTCACTTCAGGCATACCTTGGTGATTGTCAAAATTTAAATCTGACTTTGGAGCGGATTCATCGCTTTGATGGAAGCTTATGTTTAAATCTGTTTTTGGGATAGAGGCGTCATATTTTTGAGAACCTGGCTCAACAACTGACTTAACAGAAGATCCACCAGACTTTTGATTATCAAAATTAAAATCTGACTTTATAGCAAACTGGTCAGATTTTTGGATATCTGGGCTAAAATCTAAGTTTTGAGTTGATTCATCAATTAATTTATTTCCGAGATTGTGTTCTGGCTTAGCGGTAAACTTGGCAGACTTTTGATTGCCAAAATCGGGGCTTAACTTTCTAGCAGACTGATATTCCTCTTCAACGTCCAGAATAAAATCTGCCTTCGAAGCTGACAGACTGGAATGCGACTTGTCTGAGGTCTCATTCTCTCCATTATTCTTCATTTTTAGATCCTTGTCCCCTACCTCAGAGAGTATTAACACAACTTTCTCTGAGTTTTCAATCACATCTGTGTCAACAGAACCTAAGCTCCTTGTGACTAATTTTACAGTTTCAGAGCCCTCATTTTCATGAATGCCTTTGACACTTATTCCTTTACCATTGGATAACTCTTCTTCAGCCAGAGTCAGCACATCTCTCCGCTCTCGAGGGTGAGGCTCATTTTTGTTTTGATGATCCAACAGCTCTCTATTCTTGACCTTATCGTCATTCTCTGGTGTTTTTTCTGGTATGAGAGAGACATTGAAAACATTGATATTTTTCTGAAGAGCGATCGGCAATGGAGGAGTATCTTTTAATTTATCCATAATTTCTGGTCGTAGATTTCCTTCTAGGTTCACATTGTTGACAACACGATCTTTCTTTGAAGGAGGATTCTTTGGGGGAATTTCATGAAGCTTCTTGAAAATCTTCCCTCCTTTTGGGATGTATATTTTTTCCTTATCCTTTTTTGGAACATTGATTTCATTAGGAGATTCTACCTGCTTTTCGGCAGGCTTCTCTTGTCTAAGAGATTCATCAGCCACTATTTTTGGTTGATCTACAATGATTTCTTTTTTTACTGCCTCAGACTTTGCTTGGTTCATATTTTCAGGTAAGTCGGGCTTCAAATTTGCATCAACTTCAATTTTTTGGGGATTGTCAAAATGTTTTGTCTCAACAGGCTCAACAGGTTCTGGTGGTTCTTTCCGTGTTGCTTTCATGAGGTTCTCTGACTTAGTTTTCACTGGCTCCTTCTTGGCATCACCTTGGCTTTGGTCCAAGTCTTTGTTGCTATCAACCAAACTGACTTGATTTTTTTTATCATCACTTTCCTTCACCTGGTCAGCATTTTCTTTCAAGTCCAAGTTTGCCTGGTCAAGGTGTAACTTCTCCGGCACATTATGAAATGCTTCCATACTGTGTTCTCTCATTTCTTCCAAACCATGTTTAACTGTGGAAACAGTAAGAAAGAGATTTAATAAGGAGAGCAAAAGCATGATGAATTGTTCAATAGAAAATTCAGAAAATCAAGTTAAAGTTATTGGCAATGTTTTCTCTGTCAAGAACGGATGTACGGAGTTTGATTAAACAATTATGATCTTGCAATGGATCAGTAGACACAGTTTAAAATTGAATGCGTCTAAACAAATATCCTCATCAAGATTTCATTTTGGATACGATGAAATGGTGATTGTGAAAATTACCTTGTAAGTAAAAAAATTAAGTCTATTATGTAGGTCAGTTAAAATTTCCTGCTCACGAAAACAATCTACTGAAGTCAAATCAAGTATGAAACTGTTGTGCTCTGAACACAACATGTTGAAAACATTTTTTGCTGTCTTTTTAGTTCCCTTGATGTCCTTTACTTAGGTAACATTTTTGTCAAGACCTCATTTGACCTTGGATGATTTTTGCCTTTTTCCAAGCGAATTGAACTGGCTGATTTTGATGTAATCTACTGAGAATGATGGCACCTTCGGGTGTTCTCTTTGAAAATTTGCGATACTTTTGATGTCTTGTAAATCTGGCGTTGGCTGAACATTTTGATACAAAAATAAGTCTTGCGGATGTTTAATCCTTACCTCATCTATTAATTCATTGCTTTGGTCACGTTATTTATATTATTCAAAGCAAGCACAATGATTGTTCCTAAAATAATGCTGAAGTTCCGTTTTTGAGCAAACTAAAATACATATACATGGTTTTACCGATAAATTCATTTTTTGGTAAAAATTGTGTCATTTTGTTGGTTGTTTTTCAAAGCCGTTTCACAAATGCAATTAGGCTCTCAGTGAACGCAAAGAAAATTACTCATTTTCTGGAAAACCTTTGCTGGATCTGAACAACTTACATCATGTACTGCTCCACTTCAATTCTTTTATTACTCTACAATAATTAATAGATGCTTTCAAGATACAACTAATCAAATGATCTCAAAAAGAAGAAATGCATATACTTACTCTCCGATGGAAATTCTTTTTCAGGAGAAATAGCAATATTAAGCTGCATATCTTTCTCTGGACCAGAAATAGCTTTTTCTGCTGCAAATAAGTTGGTGTAAGTTCCCAACACCATAATAAAAACCCCAACAATAATCACAACCTGAAACCATATGGTAAAAATAATTGAAAAAAATGTATACAATCAGAACTTAATGAGAGTTGACATCCTACTTCTTGCATACAAAAAAAAAACTTCCTTTTTAAAAACTATGCACAACTACCATCCTTAAAATTTGGAGGAGCTAATCTAAGGCTAATCTAAAGGCATCTAAGCTCATAACTTGGATTGAAGAGCGATTTTGGCAAAAACTGAAAAGAGCCCCAGGGTAAATATCTATACTTTTTGAACAGAATACCAGAGTATGAAAATACAACAGTATGACAGTACTTGCAGTGAGTATGAGACTTTGCAAATACAACAGATTTTTAGGTATCTCATCAAAGGACCCTATACAGACAACCAAAGAGTTCAGCATTGGTTGTTCATTAACATTTAATATGCTGTTCATTACAACTTCCTGAGCATGATAAGATTCCAAAATTGAATTTTCCATGTACCAAATTTAAGGAAAACAAGGATCTGAGGACTTGAAAAAAAGAGCATAGCGTCAAAATTTGTGTTATATTTCAAGCAAGATAAATGCTTCACTTTTTTATTGCAAGAGGTTTCTATACATATTCAAAGGTAATGCTGAAATTTTTAGCGTGACAAACCTTTCATCTCAGTAGCCATTAAAGATAAGTATATACTAATTATGGAAAATTGAAGGTGGAAAATTCTCATCTTTTTATGAAAAGTAACAAAAAACTTGACTGCGACAGAGTTTGACTAGACTTGCAATAATTTTCAACTGAAGTATTTAGTCAAAACACCACTCATAGTGCAAGAAATTGACCAGTGCTAACTTTCGATTTCACTAAAATTTGAAAGTATACCTTAAAATCCATTACAGACGTAAAAAGCCAAAGAGATGATTATTGCAAAGAAATGACTCATTTCTGGAAGAGATTCTTGAATAGATAGCGGATGGACTTTTACATACACTTTAAAATTATGTACATACCTGGGCTAAAAGCCTTTCATTAGTGTTTTTCTTCAACAGTCTAGTAAAGAACACTGAAGGTAAAATGTAACAGAGAATTACACCGATGGTGGATCCCAGAAGTCCAAGAACTAGCTCAATACTTGGAACCAGTAAAGCAAGGATCAGTGAAACCGTTACAATCAATAGCGTCAGGACATTTTGACTCGAACCACCAGTATTTCGAGTTAAAAGTTCATAGTGAGAGGAATGATTCTGGAAGAAAGACCAAAAATACATACGAATAAATTTACAAAGTCTTTGCAAATGTATGTGAATTCGTTTGCTAAAATCTGCAAATAAATTTTCAATAGGTATCAAAGAACCACTCAAAGTTAAGGCATTTGAACAAGGCATTACTCCATCTTTTTGATCTGTTATTTTTCAGTCTGGAAGTGACAGTTTCCCGTAGAGCTCATTAAATTAGCATCGAGTCATTCTACTTCAATCTCAGTCAACATTGATAACTTCAGCACCTTGACAGTTTGCGAAACCATGGATTTAACAGCTTTGGAGGTTTTAATGCTTTAACCAATCAGAAACTTAACTATTTTACGCTTTTTTACTTATTTATTTATTTATTGCTGAAATTTTCTACTTGATACAAAATAGTGAAGAATTTTAAAAGTCTGTACAAAACAATTAAGTGCAGATAGATCATCTGCTCTGGTGCCTTGAGGTTTTCATACATGCAGGGTTTAGACCTAATCTATTAGCTTTATTTTATTTTCAAACTAGCGAAATGCCCGTGACTGGAGTCACGGGTTTAGAAAGAGGCCGCTAAAATATCTATAACCCCGAAAAAATTGTGGTAGAGGAGCAAGACATTCCATAAAAAAAAATGATAAAATCGACAGAAAAATGAGTTGAGCGGAGAGGGTGATGGAGCTAGAAAAATGAGCTGGGGGGGGGGGGGGGAGGTAGAATAAATGCTGGCAAAAAAATTAGAACTAACCTAGCAATGATTTATTAGAAAAAAGAAAAAAAAAAAGAAAAAAAGAAATTGAAATAAAACATCAGCTGATAGCAAAAAAAGGTTACCGAGGAAACCACGGAATGGAACTTTCATAAAAACAGATTAGTGGAAACAGCGTAAGTAGGGCACTTACGTTAATTACCGTTTATAAATAAACGGTAAAAGCGATTTAACCAAAAATCTATACAGTTCTTTATGAGACCAAAATGGACAAAATTACAAAATTTGAGAAGGCTAACGTACATCTAACGATAGTTACCGTGAACGAAAGAATTGACGACATAGGTCGGGTAACTGTTATAGGTGGGATGGGATTCTCCAAAACTCCTCCTGATTCCTTTCATCAAAAATTTCATCACAAGCCTTTTTACAGGACATTACAAAATAAATGGAAGGCAGCACACCGACACATACCATTCTCTTCGTCTACTAAACTCAAAAAAATTATTTTTTGAAAAATATATATACATAAATAAATAAAATAGAAATAGAGATAAAAAAGTAACTGGAAGTAATTTCACTCACCTGATGATACAAAAATGAGTAAAGACTGGCTCTGCATGGGAATATGACAAGCGGAAAACTGAGAGCTACAGAGACAACAAATCCTAATTTGATGATATCTCCAGTTACAGATGGAGGAAAATTCATCAAGGCATTACCTGTAAGTAGTATAAGCAGACATCAGAGGCAAAATCTACGCTGGAATCTGGGGCTGTGCAAATATGGTTTTTTTATGTCAAATCGAATCGAATCGGATCAAATCGAATCGAATATTTTGAAAAAGCTTCAAATTTGAATCGAATATTTTTAGTTTTTACCTATTTTTGACCGAAACCAACCTGTGTGTTGGTCGAAGTAAAAATCAAACCAAAATTTGTTTTTTCTTTCTAACATTCAAATTTTGCATACTTTAAGAAATTAATATTATAGACAAAAAGATCAAGAATAAATCAATTCATTTAATTATCAAATGGTTTTGCATACATTTTGATTTGCTGGGGAAAGAAAAGAGGGAAGAGAAAATTGTTTCCTTTAATTGAGGACGAGCAGTTGATTGAACTGTCCTGGAACTGTAAAACTGCTGCTTACTGTCCGAAAATCCATTTTATTCAGTATTACTTCATATCAATGCTGATCTCGCAAAGACAGTCTGGCAACATTGTAAAGACTGTGGTGCCGTGCGGGGCGGAGGAGGATAGGTTGTGGGGGTCAGTACATTCGCCCATTTATACGCCATGACGTATGACGACCGATGATGCATTAGGAGGAACTCAAATGGCGCCAATTTTTAATTGGTCCGTATAGTGCGAGTGCCGTGCACTGGATGAACCCAGGAAACGTTGGCCTTTGTTCACCTAACTTCAAAACAAGTAGTTTGAACTGCGCGCCTGTTTGAGTTCTCCCTGGTACGTCATCAATATGGCCGAATGTACAAATATTTGGTCTTTTTTATAGACATTCGAAGTTTTGTCAATGTTGTTGAATAATTCAATTATTCGAAGTTTCTAAGTTCGAGTTCGAACTCGAATATTCGAAATTTTCCAATATTTGCACAGCCCTACTGGAATTATAAATCTCTCTTCCCGACCTGACATCTAGAGGCATCAACCCAAATACCAGATGTTATAAATATTACAGAAACTGTCGTTTTTATGGTCTGCGGCATATTCACTTTTTCAAAGTTCAATTAAATCTCTATTTCGGAGATCATTGATGCAGAATAAGTACATCTAAAGTAATCAGGAGAAATTTCATTAAAAGAAAACTTACCAGTAAGAGGTTGACTACAGAAGGCAATATATCCAAAAAGTCCGACACCCATGTATACTGCTGTACACATGTTGACTGATGATTTTATTGCACCGTTTATTTTGTCTAATGGCCCATTCAAATAACTTCCGAAAATTTCAAAAAGTTGCCTAAGGAGAAACAGAATATTAAAAAAGCAGGAAGATATTACATCAGATAAATTTTAATGGGACTATTATTTTAAATATTCCAACTGAAAGGTACGTACAAGAATTGTAGCTATTCGTAACCACTAAAATACTTTGAATGGAAATAAAAATTGATCTTATGCTACAGTGCAACTGTGGGAGATGCATCAGAGCTGATTGCATGATAAACCTTCTTTCCTTACTCCTCGACACTTCACAAATTGACATGGAAAAATTCGGAGGTCGCTGTCACCTCAGAAGCACCATGCATTACCATGAACCTAGCACAAGAGAAGAGAGCTGCTGATCATCATTCAGGCCTTCACAGTACTTGTGCTTCCGAGGTGACAGCAACTTCCAAATTTCTCAATTCCAATTAACAAAGTGTCCAAGAATGAGGGAAGAATTGAGAGCACACAATCCTTGATTTTAGACTGAATTGAAAAAAAATTATTTCGAATACAAGCAGAATGATAGTTAGGAAGAACTTGAATAATAGAACTATCATGAGATTATGGTAGATGTGAAAAAATAGTTTATTGTGATATGAAACTGCTTGAATACAACCATAAAGAAAATGAAAAAAATTCATAACTTCCTCTTTGTCATTACAATTAGGCATTGAGGATGTTCTATTGATAAAAAATTACAGAAATCTTTAGGAATAAAGAAAAAAGAGTAATTGGACTCACGTTTGACATGAGAGAGCTGAGGAGAAAATTGGCAGACATTGAAGAATTCCAGCTGGTCGCCAGTAGTTTACTTTGTCCGCCCAAGAAGAGTCAAAAATAGGTGGAGTTGCCTCTGCTATTATCTGCACACAAAAAAGAATTAAATTAACAAAAGGCAAGACAGTGTAACTACGATAATAAAAAAGTATCAAACTTCTTAAGAATCCATGTCAATTTTTTCTCCTGAATAGATACGTTGATGTATGTACAAAAAAACAGAAAAGATAAATAATTACATTTATTGAAGAGGTTGCTTATGGAAAGGTATTTTTAAAAAATATCTGTTTTAAGAAAAATGCATTTGAAGCTTTTAAAAAGCGTCTTTCCACATTTTGGCCTTGAATTCCTCAAAAAAGCATTGGATCATCATAGAAACAAGACGATGTGTTTCCCAAGATGTGTGGATGCTGTGTAACTGATTGAAAACAAAGACAAATTTTACGATAAGTTCCCTCAAGGGCAAAATCTAAGTTGATGGATTCTACATTACTTAACCCATGACTAAAATATAAGGAACGCAATCATCAGAGTCAGGATTTGGGAGACTTCAGATAACATTCGTTTCAAATAAAACCAAAGGAGATGTCTATTTTAGTTTCAGCACTTATTGATCTTATTGACACAGAAAGGTAGAACCATTAGGAGCAAAGAAGAAGGTAAGGGGTATGCGAGAAAGGTAGAATCTGTGACAGTGTTTGTGCTTTAAGATGTAGAAAGATACAAATCAGTAAGAGACCACACGCATATGCGCATGATTCCGTGGGTTTTGGGTAGGATGTTAGCGGGTGGAAGTGTACTTGGTAATATAATGCTTGCCCAATCTTGGCCCCCGAGGCCTGTTCGACCCTAGAGCTCTTTGTGAACCATTGTCAATAAAGCAGCTCGAAACTGATGGCACATAGCTGCAGACAGATTTTTATCATTTTTCCTCTCATTTTGCTACTGTGCTACTTTTCAGATTCGTTTTCATCCAAACATTTGAACTTCTTAAATTTATCGGTCATAAATTATCTTTCCTTCACTATAGCAATTGAGGAGCGGAAAATAGTGCATCCTCAACTTACATGGATAACATACCTATCAAAAGGATTAAGATTTGAAGATCAATGCAACAAAAGCATACAACAAAAGCATATGATAGGACAAGCTCGTACCTAAGGCTCATTAGACCTTCTCCATTGTTGCCATTTTCTTACAAAATTATCATTGGTCTGAAATTATGGAGGTCAATGGATAAAATTTAACAAAAATGATGCCATCTAATTTTACCAATGTAATTCTGTGCCTCCTATTATCCCACGAAATTAGATGCATTTTTTCTTCACAATTTCATTTTTGAAAGACCGATAGAAAGTCAATGATGTAAAGGGCCAAAAACAAATTCCAATAAAATGTTAGTAACTCAAATGGTTGTTTACCTTCAAAACTAATATTATGTAGAAACCTATGGAAAGAGTGCAGATAGAACTCAAACTGTCAATGTCTCTGACCAGTCCCAGTGGCAAAATAATGAAAACTGCTACACCTGAAATGAAAAGTAAAGAATCTTGATATGATTGTAATTTCCTTAATTGGGACACACAAGTTTTTCTTTTCAAAGTGATGTAAGAAAAGCAGATCAACAAGCATCACACATCATGCAAAAAACAAGAAGAATATAAATCCAAAAGAAAAAAAAAATAAATAGATAAATAATCTTGAAACAAATTTAAAAATTACAACTAAGTAGCATATGCATCTACAGTATTAATCTTTTAGTGATTGATATCTTAACTTCAACTAATATACTGGATACTATCATTATAAATGAAATATTAAGCTACAGTGCTCTCTCTCCCTAGCGACACTCTTTATAACAAAAAAGTTTCTATGACAAAAGAATTATTCCGTCCTTGAAACTTACTTTGTTCATTGAATGCAGCTTAACTGTAAAACCGAAGCTTAACTGAACAAAAAATTTTCTACGACGAAAAATGTCCTTGTCAATTAGTTATGGGGGAGAAAGCATTGATAAATGATTGATAAGCATTGATTTAATACATAGTAAATAATAATAGTGAACAGGAGCATTCTACACTATTTCACATTTTTTAGAACTCCTCAAGGCTAGATGATCCTTTTGATATTTTGCAAACAAGAGGATTTAAAGTCTTTCCTCTTTTTTTTTTCTTTTATTTAATACATTTTTATCAAAAATCAGAATATTTATTGAAGAGGGCTTTTAACAATTTAATTTGAGAATTGAAAAACCATATAATAGCAATATCATTTTTTTAAATTGATCCACACAACTAGACCATCTAGCAGTATCTGAGACAGAGCAGTCTCTTTCAAAAATAAAAAGATACGAATGACAAATTTCATGCCAAATTTCATTGCAAATTGAATTATTACCAATTAATAGAGCTGGACGGAGAGCCTGAACAGACATTTCCAAGTTCAAAACACTTTTGACTATTGCAGGACCTAAATCGCCGACAACCACAAAAAATGCGACACAAGATCCCATCAAAAAACCCACAATGCTTAATTCAATCACTGTTTTACCAGCTGGTCCAAACATGTGGAAAGCTGAAAAATTAAGAAACAAGTTTTCAATCAATGTCAAAGATGGTAGACCACTACACAAGGTACAAATTTAAGCATTCTGATATAATTATCATCTTCAAAATTACACAATTAGTGCAACTAAAATTGCTAAAATGAACTCTCAACCTAAATCTTGATATTTCTTTTAAAATTGGTCGCAAAAAAATTTGAGTTTTGATTGAGAGTTTTCTGCTCACATGAAAACATGAACATAGCCCCTACTCACCAAACAGCAAAAGTGAACAGCCTCTTAGAACCTATCTATTCCGGCACATTCAAAAGAATAGGTAAGTTTAAATTTTTTTAACACATACAACAATTAGAGAAAACTTTATACTGAAATTAATCATCTTACCCAGAAATTCGAAACTTCTACATCTTGAAATTACTGCTGATTTCAGGAGAAAATGACAAGCAAGTCGTGATATGATACTGATGAAAAATAAAATGATGAGGGACAAAATGATCCCACACTGGAAAAAAAAGAATCATTAAAATTAAAATTTAAAAACATTTCAAGACATTGAGGGCAATAATTTGTTGATGAAGGTCTCTGCTAGGTTCATTTCCTTTGGGCTCATATGTTTACAAAGTGACAAACTGATCCCAATTGTCGAGTTGTCTTTTATTTCATAAGTTTCTTAAGTAGGACTTCCAGTGAAATTGTATAAAAATATGTTGTGGTTTTAGCAAAATAGACGGTGTATGTAAGTTTAGCACCATGTGTGCCATTCTAAGAGAACTTTATCACCAATGCAATGATCACTTATTGCAGATGTTTCTTTTTCTTTTTCTTTTTCTCTCTCTCTCTCTCTCTCTCTCTCTCTCTCTCTCTTATTTGGGAATGAAAATGTGGTTCCTGTCAGATGCCTTTTTTTCAATTTTTCAACATTTGTGGCCAAAGTTAGAGATCGCTGTGTTTTGTGAACCCTCATGAATAAAAATTCAAGCACTTATCGAGTCTTACTTTGTAATTTCGTCCAACATCCAAAAAACGTCCAAACATCCTAAGTTTTCTTCCCGTATCCTCATTTTTTAGGATTAGCATTTTGTCTGTCTTATTTTGCCCTTTACCTTATTCGTCATTAGCATATGCGTACACAGTAACTTGTACCAACCTTAGTGTTCAGTCTCTTATCTATCTATTCCGGCACATACAAAAGCACATTCACAATTAGCAAAATGTTTTAAAGTTGGTGAAATTTCCTAGGTGGAGCGGGGCAGTGAAGAATTGTTGGTGTGGACGGATTTATTATTCATCTACTAACTTAAGTCTTTCTCATTCTTTTCGAAAAAAAATTAACTTGGTAACATAGAGCAAGGCATGTTTGACACGATATAGAACCGCTGACAACTGGTGAAAAGACAGTAAGTTTGTTCAATAATTTCTAATGCTTATATGTTTGAAAAATAGAGGGTGCTTCGCGTTCACAGGAATTCTCCTGAGTTTTTTTAAGAACAATATTAATTTAAAACAATCAGGGTCAAAGTTGCATATTTTAAGCTACTACTTTTTAAACTTGCATCCCCAAGAAAACCATGATGGTATCCTAAAATATTCCTCCTGCTCCTGGCCCATGTACTATTGTTATCTGGGTACAGCTGCAAAGACCCTAGATCATGGCAACGGCACTAATCTGGTCACTGGTGAGAGGGATACTTTTGGAGCCATCTACACTTTTTCAGCGATGAAAGCTTGAATGAAAGCTCAGAATGTTCATCTGTAAACTCGTTTTTCACGAAGTAATGTCTTTAAAAATCATGTTCACTAGCTAGAAAAGTAGCTCAACTGTGATTTGTTGTTACTTCTGTCTAACTAAACTTCACATAGGGTGGCAAAAAAAAAAAAAAAAATCATAAGTGTAAAGGATGATTGAAAATTGAGGTGAAATCAGTTGGAAAAAACTCACCTGTTGGAAGCAAAATGGCATAGCAAGTATGCTCACACCAATGATGCTGTTGGACAGCGTTATGACTGAATTACTATGCATTTTAACGGTTACCTATGTTAGATTATGCTAACATACTATGCCTGGAAAATAGTAAAAAAACAAGCATCAATACATTTGAATGCTGCTTAAATTACAGTTAAAATAGTGACAAAGAGAAACAAATCTTTCATTATTGTATTCCTCGTCCAGCACACTGTAATTTCACTCAAGTCGCTGCTTGCAGTGCTTTTGAGAGGGAAAAGTACTACGAGTGCGAGTTGGAGTTGCGAATGGATATTGGCTCTTATGTTTGCGCTCGCAGTCAGTGTCTTGATGGTCAGGCTCAGCATGATATTACTATGCTCCACCTGTACTTTTAAGCATATCAAGCAATGTCATTCCCATTTCTCTCCTTAATGAATGATGTCCTATCATTATCCCTCGTGGCTTCATCATGTACCTGGTATGATTGTTAATTAGAAGCCAAGTAGGATGATAAAAACACAAATTTAGAGATATAACTGCTCACTCCAAGAGAGCATTTTGAAAACTTAGGTCAAGGCATCGGTCCCAAAAGTCGTATAGAAATAATCAGCCTAGTGAGAGGTGCTGCCTTCTTACATCCCGATTGAAAACTGTGCTACACAGTGCTCAGCAATTGGCACATAACAGATGTAGGAAAATTTAAGGCACGAAAAAATACTTTTAGACTATGAGACCTGAATTTATCTAAGGTCGGGTTAAAATTTCCCAGTTGAATTCAAACTGGTATTAAATTTTAAATGAATAAAAAGGTGCTGCTTCTAAATGTGGCGCACCCCAAGTTGTTCCCTTGAGATAGATAAGACAGCTGCTTAAATTTCTCAACAAGTTGAGATATTAAAGACTGAGAGAGAACAGTCTATGATACAGAATAAGACTGTCTGGAGATGCAAGAATTAGGTACTAATATGAAGGTTTGTACACTTTTCACACTTACTATAGAGAAAACTTAATTTACCACTGATAAGAAACAATAGTGGCAATGCTATAGCAATCGGACGATTCACCTAGAGTGAAAATCCATGTCCTCGATTGAAAATCAGTAATGTACACTAACAGTAGATTGGTGAAAACAAATTTTCTCTGACACTGACATATTTAGAAAGTTTCCAAAATGCACGAAAACCTCATCTGATGATTTGATAACGTGGAATTGAGGTTATGTTGTTGTTATTCTTTATCAGGTATAGCAACATCACGTTTTCTCCCACAGATTAGTCCCTACGGACCAGTGCACCTACAGTGCTGGGACATGATATGCTTGAAAATGTTCGTCAGTGATTCATCATACTTTTTCCAATGTAGATTGAATGAATATTTAGTTAAACTTGCACTTGTTAATACTGCTACAGATCTTATTTTAGGGAAAATCTTGTGAAATGTTTCACGCCTTGTTGAGGATTTTCGTACTGTGGGATTTGATACCTTTGAACTAGCGCGCTATTCAAGTTCGATAGCGCTGGTAAACCAAAAATACCGACCAAAAACTTGATGGCAGTACAAACTGCGGGGCACAAATCGAAAATAAAAAAATAAGATTATGTAAATAACTCTAACGAGCGTTGATGGAAGTTGAAACTCCTGAAACAGAGAGCCGACGAGAAGTCGTAAAGGGCTGACGGTATAGAAACTTCAACTTACCCTCATTTTGATCCCCTGACTTTTGTCCCCCCCCCCCCCCCCCCCCNAGGCTACCAATTCATAATCTGAATCTGAGCTGCTTACCTTTAGCGGACCCAGGTATTCCAAATCCATGGCCGACAGCCGACCTTCCGGCTACTCTTAAGACTGAGAGCGCACCGGTCATCGAACATTCGGGTCGTTGCAAGAAGTCGCGTTATGTCAGGTTGACGCAAATAATGATGGCGCGCCTTGATGCATCTATACAAGCTTAACGGTGTCCATGTTGTATGTTACAGGAATTGAAGGCGCTCTTGAGTTCCGGTCGAAAGTTTCAAAAGTATATCGACGGCGTAAGTCCGCGACCACGTATCTCGTTTGCGGTGTTTGAAAATCTCCGCTTCTATAATATTTTTTAAAGGGGAACAAATTGACATCAATCCTTGAAGCTTTTGCAGAATTTTCCTCCCACAGAAAAGAAAAATCTTGGCAGTTTTAAAGAATTGTCGTTGAGTAGTTTTCCGTTTAAAAAATAAAGTATGACAGGAAGTCTGCCATGTCGCAAACCGAGATAGGTACGTGGCTGCGGACTTACACCGTCGACATTTCGTAGGGATTTTGGATTTTTAGGTACTGAATCGGTTAAACTGTCTAGGCACTTCGCAAGCCGACAAATTACCAAGGTGATTCGCAATTTGCTTAGGCAATGCATACTGCCAGAAAATTTGCAAGCCGCAAGTGATGGTCTGAAAAACGATAAGATGTAATACCAGTGTGGAATGGCATACGTGGTCAAGCAGGTCACGCCATGATTGAGTAATTGGACTGCATTTTGTAATTTGGAACAACAAATTCTGGCTCAGTCTAGAAACAGCGTACGCTCCATTAGCTTCCCTATGCACGTAAGTGATAATGTGGAGTAGCCAGAAATCGCAGTTCGTAAATGGAAAATGTTTTCCGATTCACCTTGCAATTTTCTTATTTTTAAGTCAAATCAATCGAAGGTGTCATTGGACGCTACATAGAAAAACATACCTACGGCGTCCCTGGTAAAAATTGGCAGTAGAATCTGTGTTCCAAAATACCATAGACCTAAAGCCGGCTGTAAGATACTCAATAGCCTCTATAGCCGGATGCACAATTTCTTATAGCCTTTTATAGCCGATGGCGATTAAGCAACAGCCAGGCGATGAAGTGTATGCTAAATGTTACTAATAACGGATGCTAGGACTTATTGAGTTTTTTGACTAGGTACCACTCTATTTCTGGGCCGTAGTATCTTGATTTATTTTGCGCGAAAAGCTCCGTACTTTTGAAGGATGCCTGCCATTCTTAATATGTTGGAACGCTTTCAATTTTTCATGATACTGTGCAATACCTCTGGTGTGAAATAGTTGCTTCAAGCGCCGTGGTACGCTGCGGCGCGGCGGGCGGGTGGACAGCGCGAAAAGCGCATCAGCGTCTACAAACCTAACAGGGATCCTTCAAGCATTGCGCAATGCGTGAAGTATCCCTGTTAGGTTTGTAGGCGCTATTGCGCGCTTATCGCTGGCAGCACGCCGCGCCGCGCCGCTCCGCTCTGTGTTAGGCTCCAATACATAATCTCGTGGAGTCAGCGTTTTTCAACCCATGATTTTAAAATGTTTGCACATCCTGTATGGATTATTCTCATTTTAATTTATGAAAAAAATATGTATTGAAGGAAAATATAATGTGTGTTTTGTAAATATTATGGTGGTTCCGTATCAAACTTAATGATTTCCAAAGCGCACGAATTTCTACACAATTTCTTATAGCCTTTGATAGCCAATGGCGATAAAGTGTAAAGCCCGGCGATATAGGAGCTATAGCCCGGCTGTATACTTTTTTTATCGCTTCGTATAGCCCGCGGCTATATGATTTGCTCCGCTTTCTACAGCCAGCTTTACGATTTTTTATCGCCTTCTTTAGCTGGCTATAAGAATTCCTAAGGTATTTTGAAACGCAGCTCCTATCACCAATTTTTACCAGGGGTAAGTCCGCAATATCACATATCGCGTTTGCAGTGTCTGAAAATCTCCACCTCTATGTTATTTTTTTAAAGGGGAACAGATCCACATGATTCATTAAAATTTTTGCAGAATTTTCTTCGCACAGAGAAGAAAAATCACCGCAGTTTTAAAGAATTGCCGTTGAGTCGTTTTCCGTTTAAAAAATAAAGTATGACAGGAAGTCTGCGACGTCGCAAACCGAGTTTTGTGATTGCCGACTTACACCGTCGATACACTTAACACTTAAAAATCATTCTAAAAGTAAAATATTTTAAAAAAAATTGAGGTAGAGGCATTCACCGAAAAAAAATTGAAGTTAATTTAACATTCTGGATGTAAAAAAAGTGTGCGAGAACTTACAAAATGCTAAAATACCTGCCACAGCAGTTACTTCAGCAATGCCAAGATGTAAAATTAAGTGCTGTGGCGGGTAATTCACCATTTATAAGTTCTCGCACACTTTTTTTACATTCAGAATGTTAATTTAACTTCCTTTTTTTTCGGTGTTCCTTATAGTTTTAAAGTTGACGACTAACAAGTTAACTTTTGAGAGGACGTGAGCAAAAATTATCTCTACTCTCGGAGTGTTCTGAATCTTTCTGAAGGCTTTCGCTCGCGACCTATACGAGTGACGTATTAAAAACTGATGACTATAGATAGGCACTTATCCTCATCGGCAACACCGCAGTGGTAGGTTTTCTCAAAATTGGCTCTCTACGAATCAGGTTCAAGAAGTCCCGAGCAATTATTTGAGACTGGAAGATATTAATTTGTGAGAAAACGTATCGATGAGAGAAGCCATAGCTCACAATTCACTTTTCATTACAGTCAAAGCTACAAAATTCTAATTACACCACTTCAAAAAGTCAGTGGCGCACAACCCGCGGTGCACTTGCTTTAAAATCAAGTTTCAGCGCAACAGCCACTGCCGTATAGTTCTTTAACACGTACAAACAAATAACTTTCGTTTGCGTTAACTGTATTTTTAATTTAAATGATGATATGTACGCTTTATTATTACTTTTAAAATTAAAAAGAAAACTTCAAGACCCATTTGATCGTTGCATGGAATAATTAATTATAATGCCATTATCCCATCCAAACTGAGGATACCATTTTGAACTACGAAGTAAAGATTTACGATTTCATAATTTTTCAATTCATCACTGGCAGTAGCACAGGCAATTTGCATCCCATAGTATTTTTCTTTTCCTTTAAAAAATAATAAAAAAAAAAAAAAACAAAAACGAAAAAGAAAAAATACGAATATGGAAACGGAGTATGACTACCTACGTCGGTTCAAAAAAGCGCTCCACTTAAGCCATGTTAGAGACAAGACTAGGACATCCCTGACCATGAAGCATGTTCGTAGTCCAAACGTCAACAAATAAAAAAAAATTAATGGACCGCGTGTGTAACGTTTATACGACCGGAATGCCGATCTTAGGACGTTTAAACAATTTTACGCGATTCTATTAAAACGTATTGTGTCTACAACAAATTCGCGGATAAAGGCCGTCAGACTATAATACAGGGGATGATACCACTATTCAACCATGCGAGATCTCGTGTTGCCTACACTGAAATGGAAGGCGAACTGACAAGGCGTTAAAGTTATCTTTTTCCGTTTGGTAAAATGATATTTTTTGAGCGTTTCCTATGTAGGCGTGCAATTTCATGATCATATCGCTTGTTTACTTCTTTCTCATTACTTTTTTTTCAGTATTCCTCTTTCTCCTATCTTCTTCCTCTTCCGCTGCTATCGTCTTCTTCTCCTTTCTCTTTTATTCTTGTTTTGAAATGCGGCAAGTAAAACTAATATTATTTCAAGAAAATTGAAGAGACGATTATTCTATTATTGCTAAAATCCCACCAGTAGAAGATAAAAACGTAGCACAAGTATCATTGCTGATCAAAGAGATAGGGAGCACTCCGATTTTTTTATTTAATTTTACGCTTTTTTTCTTTATCAAACAAATAGTCAGAGAGAACTAAATATACATAAAATTTCTTTTAAGAAACTCTACATTTTCAAAAATTTTCGGGGGCACTCCCAGGACATTCTTAAGGCAACCGAAAATGGACTGCTGGCGTAGATCGGCCAGAGTTTCAAGGAAAGCTCATGTTCGGAATGAAAAGGTGCGTGAAATTATGGGCGTCAAAAGCAACACAGTGCATGAAATTTTCACAAAACAGCTTGTCTGGTATGGGCATATGCAAAGGATGCCAGATGATAGGTTGCCTGAGACTGAGAAGGTTTTGGATTGGGTCCCCCCGGCAGAAAGCGTAGAGGACGCCCTGCCAAATCATGGATTGAGGGGATAAGGCAGGATATGAGGAGACGCGATCTGCCGGATGAGCTCTGGCAGGATCGCTAACAGTGGTGGTTGGGTGTCGCAGAGCGCACAGAAGCGCTATAAGAGCGACTTATTGTTAGTTATTTAGTTACGGGGTATTTCTCTTGAATCAGATTGTCGGGTTCCTTCCAGACCCAGAGGATGCCTAAATTAATCTCGCATCGAGTAAAAGATGATAAATCCGGCACCATGTAAATTGAATTAAAGTAGGAATAAAGGGCGAGAATAAAAGACGTCGAACATAAAATGAATAAAAAATATATTGTTTTATCGTATTAAGAAACATCAGTTGGAATAAAATATAGAAATTAAACAAACATATGCACGGAGACGTTACTTAAAATTATCAGAACATCTCGCAAAGCCAAACGAAAAGCAGCAATAAATTGACCAAAGTTAACTGGCTTTTTACAATTCATAAAAATTAACAAAACGCAACGAAGAGGTTCGCAGTGATTTCAAAATATTATACGTATAAGAGTACTATGTTTGTTTTTAAGCTCTAACAGTCCACATTAGTATTTCTTCATCAATTTAAAAAAAAAATTGGAAATTTGGAAACCTCCTTAAAAATATGTAAAATATAATTTTTGCTAGCTGTACGCCCATGCATTCAAATAGGTTCAAATCATTTTTTTTTTTTTTTTTTGTCGATTGCATACATGAATTTTATTTACATGCTGGACTTCTTAGTTTAGATATTACTGTATAGGTTTACGTTTGAATGCTTTGGTTTGAACATTTACAATTTATGTATGACGCCAGGCCAATGTTATAAAAATCACCCTCCACGGTTCTTGTACTATCATGTGTTGGCTGTGAAATGCGTATTATCACAAACAAGTCTTGTACACTGGATTGTTCTATGCTCAGCATAATCTCTTCTGCTTTTACACTAATCTACTATACTAGGAACTATTAAAGTTCATCATAACAACCCAACTTTATACGGCATGGTGAATCACTAAGTCAAACCGATGACGGCGCAAATCGATTTTTTCAATCAATTTTCATCAATTCAATAAAATTTTCCAGAGCAAAACAAAAAAAAGAAAATGACATTATTTCTAAAAATTTCCTTTTCATTCTGCGAATAACTTCAAACAGGATAACAGAACGAATATTATTTTTGTCTGTTCCTCTTTTTTTAGAGAAAAACAAGTAAAAGATACGATACTAGAACTCTGTCATTATTTATCAGAATTTTGTTTCTCCCTCTGTTTGACACCATCCCTGACAGTGTGAGGATTGGCTTCGGGGCTATGCAGATGAAAGGCCGGCCCAAACGGGCTCTATTATGAGAGAGGATGCCAGAACGAGAGGAATTTCCAATTAAGGGGGAAATAATAGAGATATTAAATGGACTTCATTTTGCAATTAGGAACTACAATTTCTGGCCAATTTTAGAAACGGCATACGTCCCTTTAGTTTCCTCATACACAGCGCCGAATTTACCTACTTGCCGCCCATGGGCCGCCTGTATTTTTCCGCCCCCTTCTCATTCGTTTTGAAACATTAATAGATCGTATTCGACAGTGGTTCGATGTATCGTTTGGTTCAAAACAGTAGAATATAACCTCAAACAAAAATTTTAAGATTTAATTTAGAAAAGCTGAAAATGATAAAATTCCTAACAATTTCACTTTCCATTGCCATTTGGTACTCGAGAGAATAAAAATTCGATCCCATAAGACCCATTACCTCAGATTTCTAAATTGACTTTTGGGGCTGTGGTTACATATTGAACCAATCGATATCAATATAATGTCACCTGTGTGATCTGTCGAATACGATCTATAAAAACCATCAAGTGAACGTACCGGTGGGGGAGGGGTGTATGAGGTGCGTTTACTCGTGTTGGGCACATTTTTTGTGAAAGCCCTGTCAACATTAACAAAAGTTCAGTTCCGTAAATCCATCCCTGTTTGGACAAGGCCTTTCAGTTATAAAAAACGAACGAAAAAATTATAACATACATAAATGTGGTTAATAATTATTTTAACTTCCGCCGCTGCGCCGGCCGCACTGTGTTGGTGTAATGCGTGAAGTATTCATGCAGTCTTGTAGGCGCTATGCGTTTCACGCCGACCGCTGCTAACCACACTATTTGGCGCAATGCGTGAAGTATTCATGCAGTCTTGTAGGCGCTATGCGTTTCATGCCGAACGCCGCGCCGCACCGCTCCGTTCCAGGTCAAATTGCGTGTTTGGTTTCTCTCTTAACTCGACTAATTTAAGGTGTTGTCTCTTGTATCACCGAAAGACGACAAAATTAGAAATTACTGTACTTTTACTCACAGAAAATGAGAGATGTGGCCAGCCCTTTAATCCAGCCTTGCTTATGCAGATGGGTGCATTGATGCTTAAGTTAGAAAATGTGGTCCTTATTGCAGAATGTAGTCCAAATGACACCGAGCAGGAAAACAAAAATGTTAACTCAGTATGACGCCATTTTTTCCGAGATATATACTCAAATAGTATTTTTCAACGGAGCAATCGCTATATTTAGAAATTAAGTTGTGATTTTTTCACGATTATTTGGCGATTAAATTGCTAGGATAATCAACATCTGACCGATTATCCTTAGTCTTGTCGCAGTTTTATCTCGATAAAATCGAAATTTCATTTTTATTTTCCACAAGTTTATGTTCAATAATGTTGCGATAAATAGTAGTCGATAGAATAATGAGTTTATGGGATGATATCGCGGCTAATCGCAATTTTTATCTGGTAATATTGCAATAAGTCGTCGATAAAATCGCCAAACATTCTCCGATCAAATCGCAACTTATGGCGATCACTGCTACTAAAAAGTGCACGTTCAAGATTTTATCAAACTAGAACATATCATACAGATCATAACTATCGCAATTTATCGCATACTTTCTTATCTCAAAGGCTCGTTGCCAACAGTAATACACAATTTGAGCTTCTCGATTCAATAAGTGACTATCATCGATTCCTCAATATTTAAAACTATCTAAACCTTCCTATGTCCAATTGCCTACTTATATCCTTTTACCTCCCTTATTTATCCTAATAAAAAAACCTTGCTTGCACTCAAAGTCAACAAAATAACAACGGGATTGAATAACAAATTGGAAAAAAAATTTTATGGAGTATTCCTTCATTATCACATGTGGAAAAAATCATACTCGTAAAAACAACAGCACATTAAAATATCAATTTTTCAACATATTCCGGATTTTGCGGTTATTATAGCCTTAAAGAAAACAATTTTGGTAATTACAAAAAAATATTCAAACGTTAGCAGCACGATCGCGTTCGTCCAAAGTTACAGTGCCGATGAGCAAATGTAAAGGTACACTAACTACATGATAACATTTTATTTTGGATTCTTTTTAAACATTTCCGCACACTATCGAGCATAAAATAATTATTTCAACGTAAAAATAATTCACAATACACATAGATACAGTAACATATTTTTAACAGACTAGATATCCATCGAAAAACAAAAGGGGGNGGGGGGGGGGGGTGCTGTAGACACCAGTAGCTGGTGTTTTTTGCTTGTATTGTAAGCATAGGATTCCGGTGTCAAGCGTGTCTATCTGCTTTGTTCGACATTAGTAACGCGACATCTAAACGTGATCGATTATCGATATTTCTCCATTTGAGGCTATGGTAAAGAATCGATTATTAAGGTGTTCGCTGCGAACACCCTGTTTATCGATACTTTTCCATAGGTTTGAAGACAGGTCAATCGATTTAACACGAAGCACGCCACTCCACCGATGCGTCACACGGGAGGCAAGGTTTAAGGTACAACAGACCTCTCTTCAAAGACCTCGTCGGTGACAAACCAAATTCAGTGGCTTCTTTTGTTACCACTTTTGATTTCACTTCCAATGCTTTACTGACCTATATAAATAGCTTTGCACCGGATTTTTCTTTGACCTTCTCAGAGCGGGTGTATCTTTCTTCTGTCAAAGTTTTTTCATAATTTTATTTTCATTATTACTTTTTAAAAAAAGGCATACCTCATTGAGGACAACTCATTTTTTTTTTTGTGTGTAATCATCAGTGACTAATAGAAGTTTTATTACTCAAGATTGATATCCCTAATCGAGCTCATTGTGAAATTATCGGTGATTGGTTACAATTTCATCCGAGTGCAAATCTATCTACAGACGTAGCGTAATGCGAAATAAAAATCTTATACGTCGAGCTGAGCAGTTGAGGGTCAGATTCTTCAGTGACAATATTGTCCGAAATTTTCGATAGGACTCCAGTCCATTAAAATCTTAAATTGAGTAAAAAATGAGAAAAAATTGAGTCGCTGCATAGCACAGATCTGAGCATGAAGGCCTCTATAGACGATCAAATTCCGAACCAATTCCGATCAAAGTGGCGGCCATTTTTCGGACATCAGAATTTCCAGTTTGATGGCGATTTGATGGGCGGTTACACGGGCAACAAGGCGGCTGTTTCAAAAATCCGAGTTAACCTCACTCTTGTAGCGTGAGTTTCGAGTTGGTTCGGAATTTGATCATCTTATTTATTATGGATCCTGCCGCAAAGAAATCGTTACTCTTTATTATCATTATAAGTACAGTTGTAATTGTATATTGGTTGCAAAAAAAACACAGGAACCGCAAGGTATGGAGTAAGAACTGGCTCCTCAAGAAGAATACTTCTCTCCTTCAGTACGTAAACACCGACATCCTCGAAGAAGATCCGCTGACTTACACAAATTTCTTGCGAATGAATGATGCCACATTCAATAAGTTATTAAGAATGATCGAACATCGAATCACAAAACAGAATACCAACATGCGAGAAAGTATTTCAGCAAGGAAACGGTACATTAATTATTTACTATAACACCTTTACCACTGTAAGCGTAGAATTACATTTAATGCGATAAGAAGCTGCGGCTTGAAAAATCTTGATTCTGTCAAACCGATTATCCTCCGGAAACAGGGGAATATTCACTTCAAGTGCCATCAAGATATAACAAACCAAGAACTTAGTGCGGATTATTCTACATTCGCCGCTATTGGATCTTTGGCTGAGTCCTAGGACACGGTATTTTCAAATAATGAAAATAGTAAGAAGGGACTGCCGTAATCCAGGATATAGTTGTACTATACAGGAATAACAGGGTTAATGCAGAAACCACATTCGGCAGCATGCTGCGTAGGATAGTCCAATTTGATGTTTAAAAATCCTACACTAATTCCGGGTTGTGGCAGAAGTATCATATTACTTAGAAGCTCATGCAGCATGGAGCCTGTTTCAGAATTGTCATTCCCTTTTAATTTCTTACGAGGCATCTTATATCTTCGGTATAGCTCTTTTAGTATATTACACATACTCAGGTAGCCTTAATCGGTAATAAGTATTCAATTTCAACTTGGCTTAGTACCCAGCATTATCCATCTCCTTGTATTATTGCTGTGCCCTCATAAATATCATTCTAATGTATAATTATTTGTCAACAGGCTGCAAATTACCTTACGCTATCTTGCGAGTGGAGACTCTTTCACAAGCCTTGGTTTAATCGGGCTAATCCATAGAACAACTGTGTCTCAAATTGTTAAGGAGACCTTAGAAGCGATAAAATTGATACTTGGACCAATCTATCTGCGTGTACGTTACTACTTTAATCGCATTTAAATTCTAAGATTGACTCTGGGACAATTCTTGAAATATTTCTCTTTCTTTACTTTTATTCTTTGGGAAAATACAGACTAAATTGCGATAAGTGGTTCCACCAGATTTAAAAATAATATAAACGCACGTGACAAAAACACCTCTCTATGGTTGGCCGTCCGTTCCTTTATTAAAAATGTACCCTCTCAATATCTCAATATCGATAACATTTATTTACTTCGCCATATTGGAAATGCGAAAACGGCGATGGATGGTGAAAACCTACTTTGTCAAAAAAGTGCGGCCCGTCAAAATTTGATGGTAGATGGTGACCATCAGTCATCAGGACGTCTACTTTGACCGGAATTGGTTCGGAATTTGATCGTCTATAAAGGCCTTGAAACAGAGAGGTATTCACTAACGAACTAATGTTGATAAAACATTTAACATCACAGAACTGTTTCTATTTCCGCAACCTCCGTCCTGAAAAAATATAGATGAAAAGCCAATTTAATTTCAACTTCGGGTTTACAACACATGTCTGCAGTTTTACAAGTTATATGTTCGAGAATTAAAACAACTGAGTGAACTTGTTACAGAAAATAATCAAAATAATGAAAACTTCATGGCCGAGCCAGTGCGGTCATAAGTTAAAATTCCTGCGTGGGCACTGCTGAACTTATTTTGATTCTGCCTACTTGGAAATGTCTTAATTATACCAATTATTGATGGGTTTATCATTTGTCGTAACGACTTTTGGGGAGCAATCAGAGCTGAAAACAACTATCTAGATGGAGAATCCAGCAACGAAGACCGCCCTAAGATTATACCTGACCTAATTTGGATGTATTGCTGCCAAACGGAACTATATGCATTGAGACATGAGCCCTGAGACCCATCGGAATATATACATAACAGGGCTCACGTCATGATGCACGTAGTTCCGTTTGGCAGAAACGTAGATTTTATAGGTAGGCTGACCTACTTTCAATACAATGGGCCTGTTGCAAACTTTTGCTAGAGCAAATGTAAGAGTTGTTTCTATCAGTGAAAGTCTCAAAAATCACGATGAGCGCATTGGCAAAATTTGAATTATTCAAAGAGTACTTACATAGAGTTCTAATGTAAATGGGAGAGCTGGCGCCATGTTCTGCTCGACAAGTTCCAAGCCCGGTGTGCGCCGAGCTTCGGTCACTTTTTCGATGCATGTTCGATCCAAAATGGATGGTAAGGAATACGTGGTAATTCCTATCGACTATGCTTACATCGGATGACCGGGTACCCGTTATCGAGAACAATCGATTATGTATCGAAAAAGTGACTCGGCGCGGCGCGGCGTGGCACAGGGGTCTCGGAATTCGGGACTTGGAAAATGCTTAAAAGTGGCGCCAGCTTTCCCACTTACATTACGAGCCTATGTATACTCAATGAAATAATTACACTCCTAACTTCACAATCTGTGTAAAAAATTTACGTTTTTTTTAGCTTCCCGCTTCAAAAACGATACTACGGTACAGGTGAAAATTTCGTCGAGAGGAGTCGTTCCATTCAACCCCTGTGCACTAGGATACTACACAATATTCAACACGGCCGACACTAATCCGCCAAAACATACGTGCCTGGACGAGATTCTAGTCATTTGTTAACAACCCGCAGCGTGCTCACATAACGATTTCTTCGCGTTGATAAAAATCCGCTTTGGTTGATCGATTGCGATTTGCACGCGGAAGCGTCGGCTGTGTTGGGCATTGCTATTGCGAAAGGGTTGAATGGAACGACTCCTCTAACGAAATGTTCAACTATGCCGTAGTATCGTTTTTGAAGCAGGAAAGTTAAAAAAACGCAAATTTCTTACGCGGATTTTGAAGTTAGGAGTGCAACTATTCAAACTTTGCCAATGCGCTCATCGTGATTTTTGAGGCATTTACTGATAGAAACAACTTTTAGTTTTGCTCTAGGAAAATTTTGTAACAAGCCCATTAAGCGTCATATCGACGGCTACCTTCTTTTAAAAAAAAAAAAACACTCGGGAAAATCTAAAGATTAAGTGAATAATGGATACTCATTTATGAAAAAATGCCGGGAAATGCGTCGCAATAGGTAATACATTTTGACATTTACGTATTTTTATATACTTTCGTCCGTATTAAAAAGCAAAAAATTGGTAAAAAATAGTGAGTAGTTTTATACAACTTTGAAAGCACATTTATATTAAGCAAAACAAGCCCGCGTGCAAAATATCGATTGAAGTCCTCTGAAGTAACCCGCCAGCGTCCAGAGTTCCAAGAAAAGTTTCTCCTCTCATTTTTAAAAATTTTGGAATTCTAAATGACCAAGACGGTGCATAAACGACACGTTTCCTTAAAACGCCTCTTTCCTGATTTTTTTTTCTCTGGACATTTCCGGCTACCGAATGAAAAAATTTTCTCTTCCAAATGAGGTCTCTCTTCTCATTGACGCGTTTACGTTTATTCATCGTTCCACATTGAATTTGTAGGTTTTCAGCGTAAGTCTTAAATCTTCTGTACGTTTCTGTAAAAGGGCGGGCTCCGAAGGAAGTCTTTGCTCCACGGATAGGCGACAAAATAAAGGATTAGAAAATCACAAGTATAGAAATAATCCGTAAAACACCACGATTACCGACAACATCAAGACAATCAGGTACACAGTATGAGAAAGTAACCGACATTTTGTGTTCATATGAGAAGCAAAACGCAAAGGGTAGAACTCATTTTTGGTTGATTCATTTTCGTTAGTTTCTCTTCCGGTTTAACCAACCAAATATTTTGGTCGATGAACTCTAAATCCGTGAGACTCTTAGAACAGAATTTCATTATTGACAGTCAAAAGTACTAGCCACGAAAGTTACAACCGAACAGAAAAATTTAAGATAACGTGGGTTCATTAGGTCAATAGGAGTCTTTCATAATTCTGTGATGTCTCTGAAATGACCGAAGGTCTCGGTTGGTTTCACCAAAAATTTGGTTGATCAACCGAATCGTTTTGGTTGATCCAAGCGAAAGAGAACTAACTCAAAGTAAGGGGGGAAAAACCGTAAAATGTTTGATGGGGCAGCTCTATTGGATCCGTATCATTCGAATTCGTTTTGTTTCACTTCTTAACTCTGTATTCTCACTCGCTACGACCCCTTCATGGCCTAAAAAAGACTCAAGTGACGTTTGGATCCTGACAAGTCGTTTTATGACATATCAGAGCGTTTAACAGGAGGAAACACACGAATACAGAATGGGAACAAACGTCAAAGAGAAGTACATCTCTAGCCCTTAGTTATTTTGGGTTCGCGCCTCAAAAGAAGATTCAAGGGACTTAAAGGACAAGGTGCGCAAGTACAGTTTTTGCAATTTCGAGAAGTACGTGTTTGAAGTTCTGAAATTACATGGATCCTCACGGCGGAAAGAAAGGTCAAACTGACTGTTTGATTGTTAAAAATTGGAGAATGGGAGCGAATTGTTCACAGAATACATGCAGTAAGACTAGTTTTACTGGAACTCGTTCATACGTCGATTTTTTTTTTCAAAAACTGCACTTATGCGTCTTGTCCTCAAAGCCCCTCATTTGAGCTTTATTACCTGTAAAAGCTACTGTCGCACGGAAGGTGAGGAAGGAATTCATTCGTTACGACTACATTGCTCCTCACGTGGTGGGTATTAACTAAATTTGAAGCTGCAAAGTAGAATCTGGGGAAAGAACAGAGGGCATAAGAGTTTAAGATATTTAAGGCCACTATTTCTTTTTTTAAACTGTTGATCTCCTAATGCTAATCTCGTCATCTCGTTAACATCATCTTTGAGATTACCTGGTCGCATTTTCAAGGCTGAATGAGAGCGTGAGAAATATGAACAAAATGAAGGCAAACATTCCTCAAAAAAGGAACTCATGAGCAATGAGACACACATGCCGGAAACAAAAACTCACACTGCCAAACTACAGTAAAAGGGAGAAAAAAAGAAAGTAAGAAAAAAAAACATGTTCCCGGGACTTGGACGGCTGAGCCTTCCGAAAAGTTCCGTTCCTTAACTGGTTGCAGGAATGATCACATGCGCAAAAATGTTTCATCTGGAAGAGGCCGTGCAGACCGAACATTCATGCATGGATTTATTTACAACTGGACGTATTTCTATCAAACAGAACTATGTGCAGAGGGAAAGATGGGGTGTGATCGTTGGTGCTCGGGCCATAAGAATGAATGGGAAATATAAAGCGCCAGTGACGTCAGCGGCAACGACGAAAGAAACGCGCGACGATCGAGGCGGTCTTTAACTCATGAGCCCTGTCCACAAGGCTCTAGATACATGCCCACGGCTCATTGGTGCCGCACTTAGTTTGCGCACAGTTCCGTTTGCTGAATGGAGATATTGCATGTGTGAGGAATTTGCGATTTGACTGTTGATTTTTATGTAAAAGTTGGTTCTTATGACAGGGCTCCCACCTTATTTGCGGACTCTAAAACTGAAGACACGGCATCACTGCTAATGTATTTACTCCCTATCTTTGCATGGAGAGTTTGTCTTGATGTAGAGGTGGACTCTCAGGATAGCGTGGGATATCCCCTCCATTTTGGCCTCCAGTTGAGAGCTTTTTTTGAGCTTGGGAGATGATTTCAGAGAAAACCAGTGGCACCATCGTGTTTCTCGCGAACTTTCACAAGAATCAACAGTCAAATTGCAAATTCCTCACACATGCAACATCTCCATTGGAGAGGCGGGATTTCACGTTCTGTCCAACGGAACTATGTGCACATTGTATGAGCTGTGGGCATGTGACAAGAGCCTCGTGGACAGGGCTCATGAGTTAAAGACCGCCCCGATCTTCGTTTCTCTCGTTGTTGTCGCTGACGTCACTGGCGCTTTACATTTCCCATTCATTTTTATGGCCCGAGCACTAACAAGCACTCCCCATCGTTCCCTCTGCACACAGTTCTGTTTGATAGAAATACGTCCAATTATATTAGTCAATTTTCAAAGTAGAAAACAAGAAAAATATAAAAGTACTTTAACAATTCGTTTTTTACTTTGCAATACATGAATAACGAATTCTCACGGAATCACTTTTACCCGGAAATTAATTCAAATTTTGGGTTACATTACTTTCTTTTTCGTGAAGCGTGGTACCTAACTAATTAAACCGATTTAAAAAAATCGTGCGCTCATTTACTCCTGGAATATTGTTTTTTCTTCAAAACCACATGTATAACTTTACAAGAAATATCGTGATACACGGGGCCTCTTTTATTGCGAGTGAAATGGCGATAATCGTGTACATCCGTATAATGAAGAGCTTTTATTTGGATGATGATAACCTAAGGTCAGGTCCCCGCAGCCGCTCTTGGAGGAGTTGATTTAATTCCAGGCAAATACCTTAGAGGGTTCATGTTTACTCTAATTGTTTTATCTTGGGGGAGGGTTGTCATTCAACTGCAAGTAAACCTGCGTGCGGGGGGAAAAAAAAAAAAAACATCTGAACCTCATGCACGAGGATCGATATCACGTGTTTAATTTTGTAAGTCAAACTGAAATTTTGGTCGACATGCCCGAAGTTTCAACTGAGATTTAGCGTCGTAAGGGCTGTGAGCTTACTTACGATCCGCAGGCGGTGCGAAGAAACTGGAGCACCGTACTCATGAATATTTAACCTAATATTTTTTCCACCTTCAGTTACACAAAACCCGCACACTTAAAATGCAAAATAAATTCTCAATGTTTGCAACTTTTTTAATAAATCTTACTTCGACTTACAGACTGCTTTAACTTAATCCTTCAACAAAATTCTATTCGATCATTACGAATTTAAGCTGTTAGAACTGTTAACTGGAATCATTATGTTAGCGATAGAAAAAATGTTTTGATGATCAGTTCAACTACTGGTTTGTGTTCAAATTCCTGTCAACTGAACAGAAATTATCTCACGTTATCAAACTACGTAATACGCCCCCATATTATATAAAATCCTGGAGAAATGGACTCGAATATTTATCTCCAAGCGAATCAGTGAGAACGAAAACACACCAACTTGAAAAAATGAAAATAACACACAAAACTGCACATTAGAAGAAGAAGTTAGTCTAATAAAAAGATTTTTGGTGCCTAAAAGCAAGTACTTAAGGAAACTTTAAATGTCCGAGTTGGAACAGATACGGTAACTTTAATGACCTCTATGAAAATTGTGCCCTTATTGAAAAGTGAGCATTTTCGAGGTACAGAGTTGGGTGTGTTTTCGTTCTCACTGATTCAAGTATGGTTTAAAAAAATTTAGAAATATACTTGTACACTACTGAAGACGAGATTACACATTGAAGAGAAGAATGGACGGAAAAAGCTGTGCGCATTGACTGAAAATGAAAACTAAGAATTTTAAAGGAACTTAATTACAATGCACGGCGTTTTTGTATACTTACTGTGGCGTGGCCTCGTGAGACGGTGAGTCTTTCGTCGTACAACATCCCCAACAACACGAATGGTTTGCCGAGGTGTTCACAGCCCGCCTATTAAAATTTTTTCATGTTTGTTGTATTAGCACCATTATTAAACTAACTTCTATTTTGCCTAAGAGCGTAATATTAAGCATGTGACTGCTTAAATGGTAACGGAATATTTTAGTATTGTAAATTCACATTTGCTTTGAGCATCCTAAAATTTTTGCATCAATGGAGAATTTGCACGCAAATTTTTTAACGCCCCACCGGAGAGTGCTTAAAGAGCTGAACTCGCCGCGTTTTGGATAATTTTTTTTTTTTTTTGATTCGGGAATAAAAATTTCTGGTATAAAAATTGATTTGAAAGTGAGAAAATGCACTGCCTAGTGGCGTCATCAGGCGGCATTTTCCATTTAAACATATGTCTTTCAGCAGATTAGATAATTTGGTCGTACCTCCTTTAATAATTTTCCATTTAAAAACAAAGGGTATCTTCGTGTTCAGTTCACTTAGTGCTTTCCATTTACACGCGACACAAATTTCAGACACCTGCAAATTCTCCATTAACTTATTAAAAACAACAAACCACATTTCCAAGAGTAGCAATATCTACAAAACTTGTGCTGAACAAAAATAAAAGTCAAGCAATGGACTGTGCTGTTTTGGAGGGTCTCAAAATGCAATTCCAAAATGCATAAAAGTTCCTGATCAGAAAGAGTAGGAAGAATGCAGATGGAAATATGATGGTGATCAACGTTCAGAAACAGGCATCTGAATGAAATTTGAGCGTCTGTTAATATGAATCGAGTCAATTCCAGTAAAGTCTCTGAGGGAAAATCAGAATTTTAAAGTGTCATGCTCATTTGACATTTTTTTCTATGGGCAAATATTTGAGTAATGGTGAAACTTGTGAGAGTGCCCCAAACTTTTGCTTATAGTTAACACGGAAAAGAAAATATTTGTGATTTAGTTTTGGACAATAGAGTTTCGAAAGATTGTTGGGCAATTGACCCGAAGGTTTCAGGACATTCCGTCAACGATTTTTTGCCCGCACACCTATTTTGTCTAGTAGTTTACGTCCACGCGTAAAATAAGAGTTGTGTTGAAAAAAACTATAAAATGAATAAAAAAGAGGAAAAAACCAAAAAGCACCCAATCATTAGTTTTAACCCGTATGTGCATAGATCATTTAGAGTCAAATACGTCCAATTTTGAGCGTTTGGTTGCGCGCACACACGCTGCAGCACATTAAAAACACAAAATATAAAAGAAATAATTAAAGTGCTTTGGGGATCATTAAATTTGACACGGAACCTCCTTAATATTTGCAAAACACATTTTATATTTTCCTTTAATAATACATATTTTTTTCTTTTTTTCATCAATTTAAATGAGGAAAATCCATGCAAAGTGTGCAAAAATTTCAAAGTCATGAGCTGAAAAACGCCGACTCCGCGATTTTTAATATTAGAGCCAAACACAGCGGAGCGGCGTGCTATACCGGCGCGAAACGCGCACTAACGCCTACAAACCTAGGGGGATACTTCACGCATTGCGCAATTCTTGAAGTATCCCCTTAGGTTTGTAGGCGCCAATGCGCGTTGGGAGTTGGCCCGCCGCACGGTGGATCGAGTCAATGGTACACGTCGGTCATGGGCGATTCGGGCGAATCGCATTTTTTAAGGGTCAAAAGTGTTCCTCAAGAGTTATATTTTAAGGATCTGACATTGATTTGGAACGAAACATGTTCATTTTTGTGACAGAAGGCATCAAAGAGGGGCTCTGCGTAACTTTTTATTTTAGCGACAAATCGTCCGAGTCTTTCTATTCCATTTAACTTGCTTCTGTTTAAATTAATGCTAATTTCATTGACATATTCTTGTTCTTCAGAGTCTGGAGAACACATTGCACTAGTAATTTTTTGTATTTGGCCCATTTTTTCAATGATTATGTTTGCGCTAATGTCCTCATCTCTAAAAGCGAAAAAAAAAA